CTCGGCTATGGAACGCCCTTCCTAGGGAGATCGGATCGGCTTCTTCGCTCCTAGTATTTCAGAAGAAACTTAAGACATGGCTATTTGAGCAGGCATTTGCGAATACTGAGTAACGGACATAAGAACGCAACAACAATATTACGGGACTGGACATTTTTTTAATGAATATTTGTTGAATTATGTTTTATTACAGTGTTATGATTTTATTGATGTTGACGTTTTATACTGTAATTGTGTTCTTGGTGGCATTGAATTTTGCCTTGTAAACCGCCTCAAGTTGCCAGAAGGCTGAGAGGGGCGGTATACAAATATACTAAATAAATAAATATGTTTTTAAGCTGTTTATGTACTCTTGGCTTTGCAAAAGTTGCTTATTGCTTTGCCTCCTTTAGACATCTCTGTAGATTCAATCAGTTTATTTTATATTTAGACGAAGACTGCTACAGACAGCTATAGGGGTCCTTCAGCCATTTTGGCTAATAAGCAGCAAGGCAGTGAGGGAAATGTAGCTTAACAACAGGGCCTTTTGCAATTTCTACCATTGGGGGCCTGGCCTTCACAAACTACAACAATGGCTGTGCTTAGCCACACACACCTCATCCCTCCCTTGCATTTGACTTCCAGAGTCTGTTTCTAAGCAGTGTGTTAACTAGTACAATAAGTGGGTCTCACTTCACTGTGCCAGAGTCTTTGCAGTTTGATCTTTAAAACCTCATATCGTGTGAGCTTTTCCAGTTGTTTCTCTTCAATCCTGCGCTCACCTGGGATTGCAACATCAACGATCCATTATTATTATTATTATTATTATTATTATTATTATTATTATTATTATTTGAAACACAACAAGATGAGTCCACAGCAGACACTGCTGGCTGTTGTATTGGATCACACATGTCCCAAGTGTCTAGGACTGTATGATGTATCGGCGAATAATGCGTGCAGATCCCAGTAAGGTGGCCTTTTGCAGCTGGAAGATGGTAAACTTGTCAGCACCGATTGTTTTTAAGTGCAGGCCAAGGTCTTGAGGCACTGCACCCAGTTTGCCGATCACCACTGGGACCACCTTGACTGGTTTGTACCAAAGTCTTTGCAGTTCGATCTTTAAATCCTCATATTGTGTAAGCTTTTCCAGTTGCTGTCACCTGGGATTTCATCATCAACGATCCATATTTTGTTTTTTAACATGATTGTGAGATTAGAAGTATTGTGCACCAAAACTCTGTCCTTCTGTCCCAGAGGAGTTTGGCATGTTCATTCTCTGTAACTTTTTCTGGCTTGTGATCCTGCCAGTTCTTTGTCGCAGGCAGATGGTGTTTGTGGCACAAGTTCCAATGAATCATCTGAGCAACGGTGTTGTGCCTCTGCTTGTAGTCTGTCTGTGCAATCTTCTTGCAGCAGCTGAGGATGTGATCGATGGTTTCATCTGCTTCCTTGCAGAGTCTACACTTGGGATCTGTTGTCGACTTTTCAATTCTGGCTTGGATGGCATTGGTTCGGATGGCTTGTTCTTGGGCTGCCCTCCATCTCCTTTTTCAGAGTTCCATTTGTATTATTATTATTATTATTATTATTATTATTATTATTATTAGGAATTATGTGAGATTTATTTCTTCCTTTTGTGGATAAAGGGGCCGCAGTGCATAATCCCAATGCTCTTTGCGTCCAGGCAGAGGGACCATCGCTCTCGAGTTCTCCTGTGTCAAAGAAATTAGATCTCCAAATATTTGACTTCCAGAGTCTGTTTCTAAGCAGTGCTTTAACTAGGACAATAAGTGGGTCTCATTTCACTGCATTTCCTGGTATCTTTAACCTTGTATCGGTTTGCCATTCAGTAACTCCTCTGATGTTTTTCTTTGAAAACCACAGCATCAACATTCTTTTAATTGTAACCTTTGTAACTCTTGGTGGGAGATCAAGAACAGAACTTGGCCTTTGGATCCTGAATGTCTTTTATTCACCCTGGGAAAGAGGCATCCCTGTGCTTAACAAAATATTTTCTAGGCTGGTTCTGATTGTTAATATAAAGAGATCTAGATTGCAAATCAGCACCAGTAAAATGTTTTGTTCTCTTCGTAATGTGAACTCATCAAAGAGATACCTCCTTCCGTGGGTCAAGAAGATCCAAATTGCAAAGATTGAAGTGGCACACGCTGTTCCCTCCTGAGCATTTGGTAATATTTTACATATCCATGTCCCCTGGAAATCTCCATTGTGTTGAGCACAGAATGAAACACAAAGAGATTATGGGCGCCAAAGAAGTTGTAACTTTCATATGTTGTGGCGAATTGTGTTAATGTTTGGGTTAATAGCAAAAGCAACGAGCATGAGAAATGCTCCCCGTTTTCCCTTTTTTGCAAACTTTTCACATTGAAGTTTGCTCCAAATGGGCTTTGTTTATGACTAAAGTCCAAATAGCCGTATATTTCTACTTATAAACAAGGTTCACAGACGGCATGCATCTCCGTTTTAAAAAGAAGTGAGCTATTTTGCTGCAATCACTGCTGTCATAGTAGTTCAACAGTGATTGCAGCATCTAAAACACAGACATGTGCCTTTCATCTCAAGAACAGACAAGCATCCCAAGCTCTGAATATCACCTGGGAAGGAATCCCACTGGAACATTGCAGCGCACCCAAATACCTGGGAGTCACTCTGGACCATGCTCTTACCTACAAGAAGCACTGCCTGAACATCAAGCAAAAAGTGGGTGCTAGAAACAATATCATACGAAAGTTGACTGGCACAACCTGGGGATCACAACCAGATACAGCGAAGACATCCGCCTTTGCGCTGTGCCACTCTGTTGCTGAGTATGCATGCCCAGTGTGGAACACATCTCACCACACCAAAACAGTGGATGTGGCTCTTAATGAGACATGCCGCATTATCACGGGATGTCTGCGCCCTACACCACTGGAGAAATTACACTGCTTAGCCAGTATTGCACCACATGACATCTGCCGGGAAGTAGCAGCCAATAGTGAAAGGACCAAGGCAGAGACATCTCCAGCTCATCCTCTGTTTGGGTATCAGCCAGCACGTCAACGACTTAAATCAAGAAATAGTTTTTTAAGATCTACAGAGACACTCGCTGGAGCACCTCAGCAAGCGAGAGTCCAAAAGTGGCAGGCTCAAACCCAGAACCTCAACCAATCGCTGATACCAAATGAGAGACTCCCCCCTGGGCACACAGAGGACTGGGCGACTTGGAAGGCGCTGAACAGACTTCGTTCTGGCACCACGAGATGCAGAGCCAACCTTCAGAAATGGGGCTACAAAGTGGAATCTTCGATATGCGAATGTGGAGAGGAGCAAACCACTGACCACCAGCTGCAATGCAACCTGAGCCCTGACCTTCTTGCAGCAAGACTAGAAGCACTCCAAGTGGCCAGATACTGGTCAAAGGACATTTAACCAACTACCAAACTCACAAATGCTGTATTTTATCTGTTTTTGGGTTTTTTTGCTTTGTTCTGTTAGAAATGTAATATAATTGACTGGTTGATCTGACACCACAAATAAATAAAGCAGTAAAAAACTTACCTGTCCAAATACATTTCTCCTTATGAACCTTCCAGGACTTTCAGATCGTCTGGGGGGCCCTGCTCTCAATCCCGCCTTTGTCACAAGTACGGTTGGCAGGGACGAGAGACAGGACCTTCTCAGTGGTGGCCCCACAGGTATGGAACGCCCTTCCTAGGGATATCAGATCGGCTCCCTCCCTTTTAACATTCCAGGAAAAAGTCAAGGTTTGGCTTTTTAAGCAGGCGTTTGCAAATACAGTGTAGCAGACATAGGAAAATGGAACGACTGGACAATGTGATTAGACAATGTTTTTAACAAGGAGACCCTAATGATATATGTTTTATTGACTTTGCTATGGTTTTATATTATCTTAATGTTTTTAATTGTATTTTATGGTCTTGGTACCGACTGTAAACTGCCCCAACTTGCCTGCGGGATAAGGATGGTATATAAATATAGCTAGTAAATAAAATAAAATAAAAACCATGTGCCCATGGGCCATGGGATGTCCAAAAGTACTATAAATGATGACCCAATTCAAGGTACAGGTTCTTACCTACAAAGCCCTGAACGGTTTGGGACCCGCCTACCTGCGTGACCGCATCTCTATATACAAACTCACACAATCTCTTCGATCATCCGGAGAGGTCCTACTCTCGATCCCATCAGCATCGCAGGTGCGATTGGTGGGGACGAGAGAGAGGGCCTTTTCAGTGGTGGCCCCTCGACTCTGGAACTCACTTCCTAAGGACATCAGGCAGGCCCCAAACTTGGCAGTCTTTAGGAGGAGCTTGAAGACGTGGTTGTTCCAGTGTGCCTTCCCAGAATAATGATCCCATAGCACTTTGTCCTCCAAAGCACTTTACATTTTTAGGTCTGCTTGTATGTTTTCCACAAACACCACTATCACTTTTTCGCCCATGTTCCAGCATTACTTTCAATTTTAATTTTACATTTGGCCTTCCCACAGTTTTAATTATGTGGTTTTATTGTTAATGTTGCATTATTTTATTGTCCATGTTTTTATTTTAATTGCTTTTATTGTTGTTATTATTGTTCTTGTGGGTTTTTTCGGGCTATATGGCCATGTTCTAGAGGCATTTCTCCTGACGTTTCGCCTGCATCTATGGCAAGCATCCTCAGAGGTGCCATAGATGCAGGCGAAACGTCAGGAGAAATGCCTCTAGAACATGGCCATATAGCCCGAAAAAACCCACAAGAACTGAGTGATTCCGGCCATGAAAGCCTTCGACAATACGTTGTTATTATTGCTTGTATTGTTGTATTTGGGCTCGGCCTCATGTAAGCTGCACCGAGTCCCTTGGGGAGATGGTAGCGGGGTACAAATAAATTATTATTATTATTATTATTATTATTATTATTATTATTATTATTATTATGTCCAGCGTTATTGCCTTATTTGGCCTTTCTGTCTATAAGCTTCAGTTTACTATCGGTATGCTTTTTCCTCCTAGGGAATCAAAAAGCCTTTCACGGAGGTTATCAAGGCCAATATTGGGGATGCACACGCAATGGGACAGCAGCCCATCACTTTCCTTCGCCAGGTGAGATGGTTCTTGAACCCAAGTAGCTTCTCCAGTGTTAACATTTACCTGCAAATACAGGGTTGGTAAAAGGCAGACTTACAGATGTTGTTGAGAGACAACTTACCAAAGTTTGGGTAATAATGATAGGAAATGCTGGGAGTCATATCCATACTTGATCCAGGTGAGCAACAGGTACTGCCAAAACAAGGTCCCGTATAAACTCGAGTATAAGCCGGCCCGAATGTAAGCCAAGGCACCTAATTTTATGTCAAAAACCGGGAAGACATATTGTCCTAAGTACAAGCCGAGCGTGGGAAATGCAGAAGTTCCTGGTACGTTTCAAAATAAAAATAGATAACGATAAAATTACATTAATTGAGGCAGTATAAACTCGAGTATAAGCCGGCCCGAATGTAAGCCAAGGCACCTAATTTTATGTCAAAAACCGGGAAGACATATTGTCCTAAGTACAAGCCGAGCGTGGGAAATGCAGAAGTTCCTGGTACGTTTCAAAATAAAAATAGATAACGATAAAATTACATTAATTGAGGCATCAGTGGGTTGTATGTTTTGGGCATCTAATTGTGCCCTTTATGTAAGCCGCCCTGAGTCCCCCCAGGGGTGAGAAGGGCGGGGTATAAGTGAATGAAATAATAATGGGTTAAATGTTTTTGAATCTATATAAATAAAAATGTAATGTTATTGTCGAAGGCTTTCATGGCTGGAATCACTAGGTTCTTGTAGGTTTTTTCGGGCTATAGGGCCATGTTCTAGAGGCATTTCTCCTGACGTTTCGCCTGCATCTATGGCAAGCATCCTCAGAGGTAGTGAGGTCTGTTGGAAGTAGGAAAAGGGGTTTATATATCTGTGGAATGACCAGGGTGGGACAAAGGACTCTTGTCTGCTGGAGCTAGGTGGAATGTTTCAACTGACCACCTTGATTAAACCATGAAAATGAACAAAATCTGGCTACCAGTATTAAAAACTCTAAAATTACAACAGCAAAACAGCAGAGAGGAAACAACCAGGCACATCTTAACACCTCTCAACAAAAGATTTTCCCAGGCTCAGCCAGGCCTTCAAATGCTAATGAAGGTGGTCAGTTGAAACATTCACACCTAGCTCCAGCAGAGAAGAGCTCTTTGCCCCACCCCAGCCATTCCACAGATATATAAACCCACTGTCCTATTTCCAACAGACCTCACTACCTCTGAGGATGCTTGCCATAGATGCAGGCGAAACGTCAGGAGAAATGCCTCTAGAACATGGCCCTATAGCCCGAAAAAACCTACAAGAACCTAATGTAATTTTAGTTTGTGGAATTAACATAACTCAAAAACCACTGGACGAATTGACACCAAATTTGGACACAAGACACTTATCAGGCCAACGAGTGGCCATCACTCATAAAAACACTGAAAAACACAGCAGAAGACACTTAAAAAGCCAAAAATTAAAAATTACATTACAGCACATGCGCATAACCACATATATACACATATACACATACATACCCACACAAAACACATATACACAGACTGGACCACAGCAACGCATGGCAGGGGACGGCTAGTATTTACATAAAACTGTAATTTAAGATACGACTGTCCAGTTGTAATTAAATCATTATTCTAACCTCCTTCAATGTAAATGTGCATACTTCCAATAATGATAAAGGGAGTAAAATAATAAATGTAATAATAATAATAATAATAATAATAATAATAGAGTAAAATAATGGAAATGTAATAATAGCAGTAATAATAGAGTAAAATAATAAACACAATAATAAAATAATAAATGTAATAATAATAATAACAGAGTAAAATGATAAATAGCCTTGACTTTAAAAAGGACTGAAAAACTCGGCTTATACTCAAGTATATATGGAAAGTCAGTTACATATTTTCTACTCCTACCTCATCCACGGTTTTATCATTTTAACTTGTCCATTCAGCCTGCCTATTCTGTTCGATTTTATGTTATGTTAATTTGCTTTATTTATGTTATTTTGCTACTGTACGTATTTTATTCCGATGTAATTTTTGCTGTTTGTAGTCTTTATTTTATTTTGCTGTATTGTTCCTTTGGGCTTGGCCTCATGTTAGCTGCCGCGAGTCCCCTTTGGGGAGATGGTGGCAGCATATAAATACAATTATTATTATTATTATTATTATTACTACTACTACTACTACTACTACTATTATTGTTGTTATTGTTAAGTCCCGTTGACACCGAAATGGAAGAAAATGCACTGTTTCTGTGGGTTAAAGGTTATGGTAACATTGCAATCCTGCCTTTGAGCAGCTACAATAGTGCTGCTATGTGCCTTTGGCTAATTTCCGAAATATGGTGACCTGAAGACAAACCTATCACAGGGTTTTCTGGGGCTGAGAGTGCATAACTCACTGAAGCTTTACCGAATGGGGAACCAAACCCAGGGAGAGCAAAGGTCAGCCCGAAAAACAAGTCTAGCCAAGTGGATAGGAAAATATATATGTGTGTCTTGCTCTCTAGAAATAGCAGCTGGTGAGACTCTTTATGTCAAGAAGTTAAATATTACCATTCAGATGTTGGTCTGAAGAGGAAATGAGGGACCTGTTGGAAGCTCTGGTTAAATCATGAACAATGTTCAGTGTTGTTACATATTAAATGATATGTATATGTGACCATAACCCATTCTTGTACTGTTTTGTTTATTTCCCCCCTGGGTAACATAGGTAGTTGCACTCTGTACTTATCCAAACCTCTTGGACAGCCCAAGTTTCCCAGAAGACTCTAAGAAGAGGGCCAGGCGGATATTGCAGGGTTGCGGCGGAAACAGCTTAGGTACCCTTCTAATATCAGTTTCTTATATCTGCTGGGGTGATGAATTGAATTTTGGAGGATGCAGAGGCAGCCCTAGGTAATTTTCGATGGTAAGCAAACAGTATTTTGGCGCCGCCCCCCCCCCCCGCCCCCCAACCAATCACTGATATATATTTTCTGTCCGTCGTGGGAGTTCTGTGTGCCATATATGGTTCAATTCCATCATTGGTGGAGTTCAGAATGCTCTTTGATTGTAGGTGAACTATACATCCCAGTAACTACAACTCGCATAAGTCAAGGTCTATTTTCCCCCAAGAGCGCCCCTGGGCAAAATCAACTATACTTCAAAAGCTTACTTTGCGTAATGGGTTGAGCCGCCCCTGGGAGGATGGTATACTAACATGCAAATATGAGTAGATTGATAGGTACCGCTTAGACGGAAAGGTAATGACGTTCCATTCAGACATGCTGGCCACATGACCATGGAGGAGTCTACGGACAACGCTGGCTCTCCAGCTTAGAAATAGAGATGAGCACCAACCCCCAGAGTCGGACATGACCGGACTTAATGTCAAGGGGAAACATTTACCTATACTAACATGCATGCCTTATTTCTGCATGCGCACAACAAAGAGAATATTTAGATTCCTTAGTTTAATTTTTCTAAAGAAACATGTATGTTGGGTTGTTGTAGGTTTTTTCGGGCTATATGGCCATGGTCTAGAGGCATTCTCTCCTGACATTTCGCCTGCACCTATGGCAAGCATCCTCAGAGGTAGTGAGGATGCTTGCCATAGATGCAGGCGAAACGTCAGGAGAGAATGCCTCTAGACCATGGCCATATAGCCCAAAAAAACCTACAACAACCCAGTGATTCCGATCATGAAAGCCTTCGACAAAATGTGTATGTGCCATATTGATTTGGCAAGAAGATTCCTGACTAATCTATTACCCACTTTAAAAAAATGCCCCAGTTTCTTCCTCATCCCCCCACTTTCTCCTTAAGTCACTTTCTGCAACATGAGATAGTGAGTTGCATTCGACTCGATACCCGGATCTTAACCTTCTCAGTAAACTTAAGCAAAGACAAACTACAAGGGTTGAATGAAAAGTAACACCTCCACCTTTGTAACTCCTCAACAGATGGCAGTACTCTTATGCGACAGGTACTGGCTTGTTCAGTAGACTCTCCTCTACAGTTCCATTTTGGCAGGAAGCCTTAGCATTAAACGGTTGTGTTGTTAAAGTGCGAAGTATGGAACCCTGCACAGATGATCGGTCAATGTGACTTAAGCAACATGTAGTCATTGAATTCTTGACAGCAGAAGATGCCACCCCAAAGGAGATTCATCAGGGAATGCAAGCTGTTTATGGTGATTGTGTTGATGTGAGTACTGTGTGTCGTTGGGCGAGTAAGTTTAAAGATGTTGAGCTGGGACCATCTGACTTGTGTGACAAACAAAGAGTTGGATGTCCTGTGACAGCAAACACCGAGTTTCACAAGCAAAAGGTTGACAGATTGATTCAGGACGATCGTTGTATCACTCAGAGAGAAATTTCAAACATAATCGGCATTTCACAAGAACGTGTGGGTCACATTATTGCTTTGCTTGACTATCGGAAGATCTGTGCACGATGGGTACCCAGGATGAGAGAACTGTGAGACGCTGGTTGCGGAAACAGAGTGTCGACTTCTTCGGTGACGGCTTCAAAAAACTTGTTCATTGTTGGCAGAAATGTATCCAATCGTCTGGTGATTATGTGAAAAAGTGAATAGTGGTAGTTAAAGAGCACATTCTAAGGGTTATTTCTGCATTGGAGTTACTAAAATATTCCCATCCAAACCCAAGTAACGAAGGTGGAGGCATTACTTTTCATTCAACCCTCATACTTCAGCCTCACCTGAGTTGTTTCTTCCTCAATAATAACCCTTCTCCATCTTGACCATACTCTGATGTTGCTTGTCTAAAGGTAAAGGTTTCCTCTTGACATTAAGTCTAGTGAGTCCGACTCTGCGGGGTGGTTCTCATCTCCATTTCTAAGCCAAAGAGCTGGCATTGTCCATAGACACCTCCAAGGCCCTGTGGCCAGCATGACTGCAAGGAGTGCCATTAACGTCCCACCAGAGCAGTACCTATTGAACTACTCACATTCTCATATTTTGGAACTGCTAGGTTGGCAGAAGCTGGGGCTAACAGCGGGAGCTCACCCTGCTCCCCGGATTCAAACCGCTGAACTTTCGGTCAGCAAGTTCAGCAGCTCAGTGGTTTAACCCACTGCACCAACAGGGGACCCTTGATGTAATATTGTTCGATCTGCTGACCTTTCAGTCAGCAAGTTCTGCAGCTTAACCTGCTGCGCCACCGTGGCCCCATGTTGCTTGTTTACATGTCACAATTCAGCTGTCTTCAATCCCAATCCTACGTTTGATCGGCTGACCATTGAGATCATAGTTAATCTGAGTTATGTATGTGTGCATCAGATGCTTACCTAACTCAACCCAGGACTCAAATCCTTCCCATTGCACCTCACTGGAGAAACATTTCAACTCTCCAGTTCTATAGATAGTGCCTTTGCTGCAGGGTATTGCCAGGAATGGCAGGATCTGACAGCCTTGGTTAACTCTCTCTCCCTGCCCAAGAAGAAAGTAATGTGACAGTTCCAAAGATGTAATTAAAGTAAGAGAATAGTTCTCTTCCAACTCTGTTTTTTGGGCATTGAATCTCCTTTGACATTTGGCTGGAATTAAATCCAGGAAGCTCTAAAGAAAATCACTGCATTGATTAACTTGCGATTTTGTGCTACGACAGGCTTCATCTTCTCTGAATCGAAAACTGCAATGCACTAATTTCTAGCTTGAAGGATAAGGATGTTGCCTGCTGGACAGATGTGGCCAAACTGCAGTTTCCATCATCCCTTCCAGTTATCAGTGATTGGTATGGATGATGGGAGATGAAGTCCAACTATGAAGGTTGAATGAAAAGTAATGCCTCCACCTTCGTTACTTGGGTTTGGATGGGAATATTTTAATAAATCAAACGCAGAACTAATCCTTAGAATGTGCTCTTTAACTACCACTATTCATGTTCCCACATATTTATTTATTTAAAACATTTATATTCCACCCTTCTCACCCCGAAGGGGACTCAGGGTAGAGCACGGCATATACACGGCAAAACATTCACATTCATAAACATTAAAAAACATTTATCAAAATATTAAAATACACCATTCAAAACCGTCCCAGTCATCTGCGTCAAGTCTAATTGGCCTGGTCATCTTTCCTATTGCTGCTTTATTGCCCTGTCCCGAAATCTTGGTCCCATGGAGAAGTTCTTACCATCCTTCTGAAGGACAGGAGGGAGGGGGCTGACCTGATCTCACCAGGAAGGGAGTTCCATAGCCAGGGAGCAATCACCGAGAAGGCCCTGTCTCTCGTTCCCACCAATTGTGCCTGTGACAATGGCAGGACAGAAAGCACGGTTTCCCCGGAGGATCTTAATCTCCGCGATAGTTCACAGGGAGAGATGCGTTCGGACAGGTAATTTGGGCTGGGGCCGTTTAGGGCTTTATAGGCCAAAGCCAGCACTTTGAATTGTGCCCGGTAGCAAACTGGCAGCCAGTGGAGCTGGCGTAACATGGGAGTTGTATCCTCCCTGTATTAGTAGTAGTAGTAGTAATATTACTTTGAGCTCTTACTCAACAGCCAACATAAATTAATGTTCCAGATATGTAGCTGCCATCAAAAAAAAGATCTGCATCTCCTCTTTCCCAGTAACAACTTGTGATACAAAATGAGGGACATAACCTCAGCTCCAAAGTGCAAAAATATTGCTGCTGTTGTTATTGTTATTACTATTATAATTTTAGTAATTAATATCTCTTCTTTTTCTGGGACTAAATCAAAACAAATATAAGTAGGCTGAAACATATACAATGACATTTGCTAAAAATTATAAATGTTGTTTTAAATGTCATTTTGCTACCATCTTGGTAGAAAATATGGAAAATTAATTAACTGATATCCACTGTGTAGTGAAACACACGATAGAATTAAAACATCCACTAAAAGACAAAAGATAAAAACCAACAAAACAGTGCACCATTAGAAACCCATTGCAATCAATTTCCAAAAGTTGTCAGAACAGAATTTTTTTTCACTTGGAAGCAGCAAGACTGTGCTTTGCTGGTAATAAGAGCCAATCAGACAAAGTGGGGAAACTCACAATATGAGTGTGTCATGAGTGGAAAGAATTGGGGTGGAAAATGAGGTTTAAGGGCCCTACAGATCATAATCACCAGACAATTGGATACATTTCTGCCAATGATAAACAAGTTTTCTGAAGCCGTCACGGAAGAAGTCAACACTCTGTTTCCGCAACCAGCGTCTCACAGTTCTCTCCACGTCTTCATCAGAAGCATCATGATGTCCCCGCAGATCTTCTTTCATTATCAGGAACAGATGGAAGTCAGACGGTGCTAAATCTGGACTGGATGGAGGATGTCGTATGGTGGTGAGATCCAGTCTCTGAAGTTTCAAGTCTGTGCCCTTTCATTTCAGCCGTCATCATCCTGGGTACCCATCGTGCACAGATCTTCCGATAGCCAAGCAAAGCAGTAATGTGACCCACACGTTCTTGTGAAATGCCGATTATGCTTGACATTTCTCTCTGATATGATGATCATCCTGAATCAATCTGTGAACCTTTTGCTTGTGAAACTCAGTGGTTACCGTCACAGGACATCCAACTCTTTGTTTGTCATGCAAGTCAGATGTTCCCACCTCAACATCTTTAAACTTACTCACCCAATGACTGACAGTACTCACATCAACACAATCCCCATAAACAGCTTGCATTCTTTGATGAATCTCCTTTGGGGTGACACCTTCTGCTGTCAAGAATTCAATGACTGCAAGTTGCTTAAGTCATATTGACCTGTGCAGGGTTCCATACTTCGCACTTTAGCAACGCAACCATTCAATGCTAAGGCTTCCCGCCAAAATGGAACTGTAGAGAAGAGTCTACTGAACAAGCCAGTACCTGACGCATACCAGTACTGCCATCTGTTGAGGAGTTACAAAGGTGGAGGCATTAGTTTTCATTCAACCCTCGTATATCTAGACTTGACTCCCAGGAGAATCACCTAATCACCCAAGATTTTACAATGCAAATTTAGCTGCCCTTTCTTCTGCTTGTGACAGTATTTCCTGTCTTTCCATTCACTAAGGGCATAATGTCCTACTAAAGGTAAAAACTATGCCCACGATTATGACAAAATGTACAAACTGGTTCAACTTGAACCATGAGGAAGTGCCATGGAGAGCAAAGCAGTCAGATATCTTTGCTGTATCATGTGTGGAGTTGCGGTGAGTGTTACCGAAATGGTGAATTAAGCTCCGTGTTTTCCTGAACGGGCCGGGATTTGGAGGAGAAAAGGAAAGGTGAAAGGAAGAGAGATAAGGAAAGAGGAGAAGGGAAGGGAGAAAAACAGAAGGAAAAAGTCAGTTTAAACCAGTGTGGATGGATTCCTTTCCTCTCCTTTCTCTCCCGCGTCAGTTTAAACCAATGTGGATGGATTCCTTTCCTCTTCTTTCTCTCCCGCGTCAGTTTAAACCAATGTGGATGGGATGGATCCACATCAGTTTAAACCAGTGTGGATGGATTCCTTTTCTCTCCTGCGTCAGTTTAAACCAATGTGGATGGGATGGATCCGCATCAGTTTAAACCAGTGTGGATGGGATGGATCCGCATCAGTTTAAACCAGTGTGGATGGGATGGATCCGCATCAGTTTAAACCAGTGTGGATGGGATAGATCCGCATCAGTTTAAACCACTGTGGATGGATTCCTCTCCTTTCCCAGCGGTTTTAACCAGAGTGGATGGATTTCTTCACTTTGCCCCTCCTTTTCTGGAGTAAAACAACTACTTTCAAAGTAAAGACTACCCAATGGAACATGAAATATCACGTTGAAACCATTAACAAACGATTCGGAAGTCTTGGAAGTTTTGAAAAGTTTCGATCTTTTTTTCTGTGAAAATCGGAATTGACTTTCGATCCGAACCACCAGCGCCCTCTACATCCGAAATGAGTTTTGAAACTTTTTTTAATCAAACAAGCCTACCGTATATCCCATAATACCAAGGCAGAAAATCCCACATTATTTGAATGTGTACTCAGATAAAGTAGCTCAAAGCAGATATTGTGGGATTCTCTGACTTTATATTCTGGGATATAGGGCTATGTGGAAGGGCCCCTGTAGCTTAGTACACCACAATGTTAGTTGCCCTCAGTATGAAGAGGCTTCAGTCTGAGAGTGGCCTCAGTGTGAGGTAAACCTAGGCCTCAGTGTGTGAGAAGGCCTCAGTGAGAGAAGTGCCAGGTTTAAGGCTTTGTGTGTAAAGCTCCAGTGTGAAGGCTCCTGTGTATAAAAGGCTACTGTGTGAAGCTATTGTGTAAGTTTGGTGTGAGAGGAAGCTCAGTGAGTGCATAGTTTTTTATCTGCATGAGAAAGAAGCCCAGCTTGGAAGCAAACACGGAGGTATAAAAAACTTTATTTGTGTTATGGAAACCTTGTAAATAGTGCAACCAAATTATTTTGCTACTATTTACCACCATATTATTTTTACTCTGCTGAGGAGGATCTTTCGTTAATAAGCCCACTTGCCCAAAAGTATTGCTCCATTGTATTGCCAGCATTGAATGTAACTCTCAGCCTGCTCAGCTTCTTCATATGGACAGGTGTCAACACCTTACTCCAAGTCATCATCATCTCACTCAAAATAGTGAAATACGATGTGTTACCTTGATTGTAATGGCATTTCTATTTTCTCTCCAGGTTCTTATAGTGCCAGCCAAGGAGTGAACTGTATCCGTGAAGACGTGGCGGCGTACATCGAAAGGCGAGACGGAGGAGTTCCGGCCGATCCAGAAAACATCTACTTGACAACTGGAGCCAGCGATGGCATTGCTGTAGGTTTTGATGTGCAGGATCCTTGCTTTGCCAAAGATGATTTCCTCCAGAGGTTTCTGATTGCAGCTCTCATCATTTGTGACTCTTGGTTGCCATTGCTGCGGCTGATGAGAGTTGAAGTCCAAAATATCTGAAAGGCGCCACATCAAATAAGGTTCTCAGCCTCCCTAATGCCGCGACCCCTTAATACAGTTCCTCATGTTGTGGTGACCACCAATCATAACATTTCCATTGCTACTTCATGACTGTAATTTTGCTACTGTTATAAATCATCATGTAAACATTTGATATGCAGGATGTATTTTGGCATAAATACCCGATATGCCCAAATCTGAATACTGGTAGAGTTGGGGGAGAGGGTTGATTTTGTCATTTGAGAGTTGTAGTTGCTGTGATTTATAGTTCACCTCCAATCAAAGAGCATTCTGAACCCCACCAATGATGGAATTGAACCAAACTTGGTACACAGAACTCCCATAACCAACAGAAATTACTGGAAGGTTCGGTGGGCACTGACTTTGAGTTTGGGAGTTGTAGTTCACCTACATCCAGAGAGCACTGTAGATTTAGACAATGACTGATCAGGACCAAACTTGGCATGAATACTCAATATGCCCAAATGTGAACACTGGTGAAGTTTGGGTAAAATAGACCTTGGCATTTGAGAATTGTTAGAGTGGTCCAGCATTTCTGTGTTCTCAGATAATATGCTGTGTCCAGGTTGGTTTCTCAGATGCTCTGCTATGGCTGACTTCTCTGGTTGAAGTAGTCCGCAGTGCCTTTCATGTTCCTTCATTCCTGTTTGGGCAATGCTGCGTTTGGTGGTCTCTCTGTAGACTTGTCCACAGCTGGATAGTACACGGGAGACTCCTGCAGAGGTGAGAGGATCCCTCTTGTCCTTGGCTGAACGAAGCATTTGTTGGATTTTTTAGTGGGTCTGTAGATAGTTTGCATGTTGTGTTTCCTCATCAGCTTCCCTATGTGGTCAGTGGTTCCCTTGATGTATGGCAAGAACACTTTTCCTCTGGGTGGATCTTCGTCTTTACTCTCGTGGCTTGTTCTTGGTCTTGCAGCTCTTCTGATGTCTGAGGTGGAGTCTCCATTGGCCTGGAGAGCCCAGTTGAGGTGGTTCAGTTCATCTTGGAGGAGGTGGGGTTCGCAGATTCTTTTTGCACCGTCTGCCAAGGCTTTAATGGTGCTTCTTTTTTGACTTGGGTGATGGTTGGAGTTTTTATGTAGATATCTATCTATGTGTGTGGGTTTTCTGTAGACTGTGTGACCCAATTGTTGATCTGGTTTGCGGATGACTGGGACATCTAGAAATGGCAGTCTTCCTTCGTTTACTTTGTCCGTGGTGAGCTGGATGTTTGGCTGGATGCTGTTGAGGTGCTCCAGGAACTTTTTGAGTTCTTCTTCTCCATGGCTCCAAATGGTGAAGATGTCATCCACATATCTGAACCATATAGAGGGCTTTTTGTTGCTGTTTCCAGGGCTTGTTTTTCAAAGTTTTCCATGTAGAAATTTTCCATGACTAGGCTATGCAGGAATCCTTGGTGTTGTGCCTTCAGGTTATGGAAGGAAAACTAACCCAGCAGACTTTCCTATGGCTTTATTGCAGATCTCAAAGGGCCCACTTTTTAGTTTTCCATAACTCCTCCAAAAGTAATATTATTCATGGAAATTTTGAGAAATAAAAATGGCCGTGTCCTGAAGCAATGCAACATCAGAGCATTAAATGGAGTTGAGATAGTGGCCATCCAGCACTGAAGAGCCCAGGAAGGATATTAGTGGGAGTCATGATTATGACTCTGGAGAACAAGGTTCAGATCCTCACTCGGTCATCAAAGAATCATAAAGTTGGAAGAGATCTCAAGGGCATCTAGTACAAACCATTCTGCCAGGAAGCAGGAAAATTGCATTCAAATCACCCCTGACAGATGGCCATCCAGCCTCTGTTTAAAAGCCTCCAAAGAAGGAACCTCTACCACACTCCAGGGCAGAGAGTTCCACTGCTGAACGGCTCTCACAGTCAGGAAGTTCTTTCTCATGTTCAGATGGAATCTCCTCTCTTGTAGTTTGAAGCCATTGTTCCATTGCGTCCTAGTCTCCAGGGCAGCAGAAAACAAGTTTGCTCCCTTCTCCCTATGACTTCCCCGCAAATATTTATCCATGGCCCTTTTCATGTCTCCTCTCAGCCTTCTCTCCTTCAGGCTAAATATACCCAGCTCTTTAAGCCGCTCCTCATAGGCTTGTTCTCGAGACTCTTGATCATTTTAAGGGTCTTCATCTCAATCCACGGGGTGACCTTGGGCAAGTTTCACACTGTTAGGGTTGTTTTTTTGGCAGGGTTTGTTGAGAAGCTGTTGTTGAAGCTGAGAGGGCACGACTTGCCCAAGGCGACCTTTGGCCAGTGTGATCTGCAAGTTTAGAACCAAGCAATGGGGAAAATCAGGTTCTGTTCAGGATATGAGAAAGAAAGAAAGAAAATCCCCTGTTGTTGTGTAAGCCACCTTTGAACCAGGTCTAAAGCCCACTCACTGATGTCCCTTCTCTTTAGTGTTGGGTAACTCAATGGGTCAAGGTTGAAACTTCAGGCCACCCAGCAAACGTTGGACTGCAAGTGCTGGCATAGAATGCTGGAACCTGTAGTCCAACCCATCTGGCAGGAATGCTTGATTTCCCACCTCAGCAATATTTGCAGAAGTGGTAAATTTACCTCTGCTTTTGGGGCTTCAATCTCAGCCAACCAACATTTGTCTTGGTGTTCCTAGGCTCCCCTTCTCATTTCAATCTATTAGTCATTTGACTTTAATTTTCTTGCTGCATTTGCAGAACCCTTAATTAAAATGCCATCCCCTGGCATGCTTTGGTAGTGCAGGGACCTTCGATCTGCAGTTTTATTGATTTATCCAGCGTCCTCTCCGTCTTAAAGTTGGCAGTTCTTGTTTGCAGATGGATGTCTCAGCAAAGGACGTTGTCAGAAAATGTACACAATCGCCATAAGTAGCAACAGTTGTTCCTTTCTTTCTAATGAAAATAAAATCAATTAATTAGGTTTCTTTAACAATAAAAGCCAGCAATGAACCACATCAGATTGCTGTGGGTTTTCCAGGCTGTATGACCATGTTCCAGAAGCATTCTCTCCTGACATTTCACCGACATCTATGGCAGGCATGCTCAGAAGTTGAGATGTCGGTTGGAAACTGAGAAAGTGAGGTTTTATATGTCTGTGGTATGTCCAGCATGGGAGAAAGAACCTTTGTCTGCTTAAGGCAAGTGTGAATGTTGCAATTGGCCAGCTTGATTAGCATTGAATGGCATTACAGCTTCAAAGCATGGCTGGTTCCTGCCTGGGGAATCCTTTGTTGGGAGGTGTTAGCTGGCCCTGATTGATTCTTGTCTGGAATTCCCCTGCTTTTTGAGTGTTGGCTCTGTATTTACTGCTCTGATTTTTGAATTTTTAAATACTGGTAGCTAGATTTTGTTCATTTTCATGGTCTCTTCCTTTCTGTTACCTTCCTGCCGGAGCGGTACCTATTGATCTACTCACATTTGCATGTTTTCGAACTGCTAGGTTGGCAGAAGCTAGGGCTGACAATGGAAGCTCACTCCGCTCCATGCAGTTAGTCATAACAGCACACCTGATGAACCAACCTGGACACAGCATATTATGTGAGAACACAGAAATGCTGAACCCTCTGAACAATCACCACGTCAGGCTACACAGAGAAGCCATTGCAATCCACAAGCACGTGGACAATTTCAACAGAAAGGAAGAAACCATGAAAATGAACACAATCTGGCTACCAGTATTTTTTTTAATAACTCTAAAACCAGGACAGTAAATACAGAGCAACACTCAAAAAGGAGGGAGATTCCAGACATGAATCAATCAGGGCCAGCTAACAAATCCCAACAAAGGATCCCCCACCAAGCAGTGACCAGCCGGGCTTTGAAGCTGCAAGGCCACTAAATGCCAGTTGCAACATTCACACTTGCATCAAACTGACAACAATAGGGGCCAGCTAACACCTCCCAACAAAGGATTCCCAAAGGCAGCAACCAGCCAGGCTTTGCAGCTCCGAGACCATTCAGTGCTAATCAGAGTGGCCACTTGCAACATTTCACATCAACAGACAAGAGTTCTTTCTCCCACCCTGGGCATTCCACAGATATATAAACCTCACTTGCCTAGCTAACAACAGACCGCTCAACCTCTGAGGATGCCTGTTATAGATGTGGGTGGAACGTCAGGAGAGAATGCTTCTGGAACATAGCCATACAGCCCGGAGCATTCCACAGATATGTAAACCTCACTTGCCTAGCTTCCAACAGACCGCTCAAACTCTGAGGATGCCTGTTATAGATGTGGGTGAAACGTCAGGAGAGAATGCTTCTGGAACATAGCCATACAACCCGGAAAAACTCACAGTGATTCCGGCCATGAAAGCCTTTAACAACACATATGTTGAATTGGTTAAGACTCTATGAGAGATTCATTGACAAACTATAGCAAAATGTGCTGTCGGTTTTTGCAGTTTAACAAACTTTCCCAATGTTTTAATGATAGAACCAATTAAAAAAATGACACAAATAACCCAGGACAAAAATTGTGTTGCGTAGTGTACTCGGAGGTGGTTTTGCTAGTTCCTCCCTCTGGAACATAGCCTGCAGCACCTGAAACTCTCTTCTCATCTGTCTCTCGAGCTGGGATCGCAGCCAATGTTTTGCATGATGTGGCAGATAGTTCTCCGCTGTCACAACCCTGCAGTCTTTGGGGATCAAACAGTCCAGCAGAATGAAATCTTTCTGACACACGAAGGACGCTACGTCTTCACCGGGTGCACAACAAAGCACCAGTGATGGCTACTGTCTTAAATAATTGTAAAAGGGGATTACATAAATCTATGGAGGCTAAAGCACTCAGTAGGTGCTTACGAGGGTTGAATGAAAAGTAATGCCTCCACCTTCGTAAGTCCTCAACAGAAGGCAGTACTGATATGCGACAGGTACTAGCTTGTTCAGTAGATTCTCCTCTACAGTTCTGTTTTAGCAGAAAAAGTAATGCTCCACCTTCGTAACTCCTCAACAGAAGGCAGTACTGGTATGCGGGAAGTACTGGCTTGTTCAGTAGACTCTCCTCTACAGTTCCATTTTGGCAGGAAGCCTTCGCAGAAAACGTAATGCCTCCACCTTCGTAACTCCTCAGCAGAAGGCAGTACTGGTATGCAGCAGGTACTGGCTTATTCAGTAGACGCTCCTCTACAGTTCCATTTTGGCAGGAAGCCTTAGCAGAAAACGTAATGCCTCCACCTTTGTAACTCCTCAACAGATGGCAGTACTGGTATGTAGGAGGTACTGGCTTGTTCAGTAGACTCTCCTCTGGTTTGTTGAATGACACCTTGCACTTTCTTTATTTCTCTTTCCCTTCTACCCGACTACAGACTATTCTAAAGATCCTGGTTTCCGGAGGAGGGAGATCCCGGACGGGAGTGATGATCCCGATCCCCCAGTATCCTTTGTATTCGGCTGCTATTTCCGAACTGGATGCCATCCAGGTGAACTATTACCTGGACGAAGAGAACTGTTGGGCCCTCGATGTGGACGAGCTGCGCCGGTCCTTGAACGAAGCCAAAGCTTATTGCAATCCCAAAGTCCTTTGCATCATTAACCCAGGGAATCCAACAGGTAGGCAGAAATCCTATTTCATCGCTCTTTTGTCAATTCTATTTCTCTTGGTAACTTTCACAATCTGGATCCAGTATTTCCTATTGCTGGTAAACATCAAGGACAGTATGGCCCTCATCACCATCATACCATCATCACCATAAAGCCCCGGGTGGCACGATGGGTTAAACAAGGGGTCTTCAAACTTTTTAAACAGAGTGCCAGGTCACAATCCCTCAAACTGTTGGAGGGCCGAATTATTATTTGAAAAAAAAAACACTAACGAATCCCTATGCACACTGCACATATCTTATTTGTAGTGCAAAAACACTTAAAAACAATACAATAATTAAAATGAAAAACAATTTTAACAAATACAAACTTACTAGCATTTCAATGGGAAGTGTGGGCCTGCTTTTGGCTGATGAGATAGGATTGTTGTTGTTGTTGTTGTTGTTGTGTGCTTTCAAGTCATTTCAGACTTAGGTTGACCCTGAGCGAGGGCCAGGTAAATGACCTTGGAGGGCCGTATCCAGCCCTCGGACCTTAGTTTGAGGACCCCTGGGTTAAACCCTTGTGTGGGCAGAACTGCTGACAGATCCAGGGAGAGTGAGTCGAGCTTCCTCTGTCAACTCCAGCTCCCCATGTGGGGACATGAGAGAAGCCTCCCACACGGATGGTAAACACCTGGGGTCCCCTGAGCAACGTCCTTGCAGATGGCCAATTCTCTCACACCACAAGTGGCTTGCAGTTTCTGAAGTTGAAGTTGAAGGAGAAGTTGAAGTTGAAGGAGAAAAGGAGAAAAGGAACAAGAACAACAAGAACAACAACAACAACTTTATTTTTCTATCCATCTCCATCTCCCCAAAGGGACTCGGGCCGGCTTACATGAGGCCAAGCCCAAAATAACATACAATTAAAAACAAGGCAAATAAAAATTAAAATAGCGTACAGCCAACATCATAAGCAATAATAAAACAGACATCATAAGCAACAACCAGAAATACTTCTCATCTCATTTTGGGGGGGCTGGTGTACAAACAAGTTAGAGAATAGTGCTTGTGTGTATGTGTGTGTGTGTACACACATACACACACGCACACATACATACATGTGTATGTATATGTGCATGTGTATGTGTATATGAGTATATGTGTATGTATATGGGGTATTTTAGGGGTTTTTTAAGTCCATTCTGCTGGGGGGGGGGGCGGTTGTGTGTGTTTTAGGGGTGATGAACACTCATTGGACTGTTAGGTCTATTGTGTCAAAATTTCGTGTCAATTCTGCCAGTGGTTTCTGAGTTATGTTTCTCCCACAAATGAACATTACTTTTATATATATTTATATATGTATGCGCGCGCGCGCGTGTGTATATATATATATATATTCAAGGCATAAGTGGTAGAGTTGTAGATGCCGATTTCATCTTTTATCTTCTCAGATTGCATATCTACTTTTGGATGAAATAATGGGCAGCAATAGTCATGCTTCATCCACTTTCTTGTTACAAGATGACTTTTTTCTTCCCCAGTTTTATTGCTCCTGGGAATTATAATTTTAATGAGCTAATGTTATTTTTCTCTTTCTTTTTCCTTTCTCCACCAATCTTCCAATGTAGGTCAGGTTCAGAGCAGAAAATGCATTGAAGACGTAATACACTTTGCCTGGGAGGAGAAATTGTTCCTTCTGGCCGATGAGGTGAGAAAGGCATCCCTGATCAAGGCTATGCATTTTCCTTCCATCTTTTAGTTAGTTCATTCAAAACCTTGCTGTCTGTTGTTCCTAAATAATGAGCAAGCCTTGGGATTTTTTTACACAGGAGCTTCACACAGTAGCTTTTTACACACAGCAGCCTTCACACACGATCGCCTTTAACCCTGGGCTTCTCTCACCAAAGCTTCTCACACACCAGGCCTACTAAACACTGAGGCCTACCTCACACTGAGGCCTTCTCCCACTGCGGGCTCTCTCAGACTGATGCCTCTCTCACACTGAGGCAAATTAACACTGAGGCCTTCTCATGCTGAGGCCTACCTGAAGCCGCCCTGCCTCCTGAAAGCCATCCCAAGTCCCCTTCTGAGGGTGAGAAGGACGGGATACAAATATTCAAAATAAATAAATAATGTGAACACACTGAGGTCTTTCTCCCACTGAGGCCTTCTCACACTCGGGACTCACTCAGACTGATGCCTCTCTCACACTGAGGCGAACTAACACTGAGGCCTTCTCATAGTGAAGTCGCCCTGCCTCCTGTAAGCCATCCTGAGTCCCCTTCTGAGGGTGAGAAGGACGGGATATAAATATTCAAAATAAATAAATAATGTGAACACACTGAGGTCTTTCTCCCACTGAGGCCTTCTCACACTGAGGACTCTCTCAGACTGATGCCTCTCTCACATTGAGGCGAACTAACACTGAGGCCTTCTCATACTGAAGCCGCCCTGCCTCCCGTAAGCCATCCTGAGTCCCCTTCTGAGGGTGAGAAGGACGGGATATAAATATTCAAAATCAATAAATAATGTGAACACACTGAGGGCTCTCTCAGACTGATGCATCTCTCATACTAAGGCGAACTAACGGGGTATAAATACACTGAGGGCTCTCTCAGACTGATGCATCTCTCACACTGAGGAGAACTAACGGGGTATAAATACTCTAAATAAATAAATAAATAATGTGAACACACTGAGGCCTCTCTCACTTAGGTCTTTCTCCCACTGAGACCTCTCTCAGACTTGAGGGCTACTAAGCTACAGGCACATCTGTTTATGGTGAACTTCAGCTTTTGCTGAGTCCTTGTGTTCATTTCACCCTTTCAGTGCTTGACTCATATTTTTGTAATTAAAAATACTTTGTTAATTTTTAATATTTCTGACAATAAAAACAAGCCTTGGGGTTTTTTTCCCGGTGCTACAGGTTTACCAAGACAATGTCTACTCGGAGAGCTGCCAGTTCCACTCCTTCAAAAAGATCCTTTACGAAATGGGGCCAGATTACTGCAACAACGTGGAACTTGCCTCCTTCCATTCCACGTCCAAGGGATACATGGGCGAGTAAGTTTTCAAAGTTTGTTTTCCTCTTCATTTTTCTCTCCTTCCTGTATTGTTCAATGCAATAACACTGTCCTCATTCTGTTTTGTTGAGGAGTATGAATGCAGGCGTTTCTCACTTTTAATCAGTTATCACTTTTACTTTTGGATGTTGTTTTGTCCTTTTAGATGCTGTTTTGTTGTATTTGTTCTTGTGGTGAACCACATATGGAAAATAGAAAGTGGTATATAAATGTCAGAAATAACAATAAAAACCTTTATCTTTATATATTGTTTGTGACTATCAAATAGTTGGAGAAAGTTTAAATAACATCGACAATAGCTCTTCTTATTATGAAGCAATAACGAAATCATAATAATTAATTACTGCATATAACTATGAACTTAAAATCAATTAAAACCATTAAATATAAGACATACATAAAATTATGGTGGTTCATAACCTATCTGTTGCAATCCAGAGCAGGAAATGAGACCATAAGATAACAATCCACCACACTTGACTGTGGGAAAAAACAATCCCTTTTTATTGATGCAAAATGGTTACAAAATAGAGGAAAATGCAAAGTCAAAAAGCCACAGTAAAATTCAGCAGTCAGCAATATCCATGAATTAGATCAAAATTCCAAAAGCAACACTGTAAAAACCTGGAACCTGTTAGCAAATCACTAACCGTACTTGGAGCACTAGAAGCCTCTTGGGATGTAGGCCACGGGAAACAGGGAAATCTGCCAAGGTAATGCCTAGTCTAAACGATGCCTAATCTAACGAGACAACTCGGCGAGAGGCACTTAAAACTGAAGAAACTGTTTCGTGACACGCCTCCAGGCTTTGAAGCCTGGGCTTCCTTTTCCCTTAATCTGCTTGATCTTCGCAGACTTTGCGATTCACTCCTGTTTTTCCAAATCTGTCCTTTTCTATCCTCATTAAGGAAGCCAGGTGCTATCTCCTCTGGAGAGTTATCTGGCTCTGCAACATTCTCATCAGAATGTATAGTTCCACTTTCCAAGCCACTGATCTCAGAATTACCCTCAGGGAGAAATACATTTTCAGTAGCATCAGGAAATACAATCAGAGAATCAGGTTCAGGTTCAGCAATCAGAGAATCAGGTTCAGGTTCGCACACAGGCTGAACCCCAACACTATCTTTGCTGCGTAGTGAGTCGGTTGTTTGGCCAAGAGTCTGACTCGTTCTTTTTCTCTGCCCCTCCACTCCCACATTATCCACAGGTGTGGTTACAGAGGGGGCTACATGGAGGTGGTGAACTTGCACCCAGATATAAAAGGGCAACTCGTGAAGCTTCTGTCCGTCCGCCTCTGTCCTCCGGTTTCTGGTCAAGCCGCCATGGACATTGTCGTGAACCCCCCAGTCCCTGCGGAGGAATCCTATGCACAGTTCATTAAGGTGGGTTGAAGAGTGAGTATGTTGGAGAGCTAAAGAAAATGAATAAGCGGGGGGAAGTGGTTCTTTTTTTGCACATCCGGATGTTTTACCATCCTGTGGCAGGCTTCTCTCATGTCCCCGCATGGGAAGCTGGAGCTGACAGTCAGGAGCTCACCCGGCTCCCTGGATTCGGTCAGCAGTTCAGCCGGCACAAGGGTTTAACCCATTGCACCACAGGGGGCTCCTTCCAACTCCCAGATGTGGTGAAGTGTGAATTTTAATCTACAGTTATGTATAACTATAGATAGGTGTTTAAAAGGATAAGTATTTAAACTAGCATAACTGGGGGGATGGTAGCCAGCTCAGCTCAATTTGAGCTGGGTTGCCATGGAAAAAGGGGCGGAGCCAACTGCCACTTGGCAGGGCAGCCATTTTAAAACAGTTAGTCTATAGTCGGTGAACTACAGGGAAGGCTGGTTCTGTTGTGTGTTGAGAAACATAAAGGTAGTCTGTAGTCTAAGAACTACAGGGAAAGGCTGATTCTACTGTGTTGAGAATCAGTAGGGTTTAGGCTTTTAACCTGTGAGGTTTAGATAGGTCAAGTTGACTTATAAAAGAGTAAAAACTTGGCTCTTCGAGCAAGCATTTGGAACCTCGGAATAGATAGACAAACTTGAATCGGAAAATGACCCAGAAACGGCCCAAGACGATGGAACAGATGAGGATTTGAACGAGAGGACATAGTTCTTTGTTTTTAAATTGTTATTATGCACTGTCTTTATGTTTAAATACACTATTATGTTTTTTGCTTATCAATGTATGTATTTTTATGGCATCGAATTGTGCCGATTGTGTATACCGCCCTGAGTCGCCTTCGGGCTGATATGGGCGGGCTAGAAATAATGTAAATAAATAAATAAATATTTAGATTAGTGGTTAGTGTATGAGTAAAAAGGATGAGGAAACCCTAATAAGAATCGTTACTGCAACAGAAATATCATAGGGAAAGAATAAGCTTGTGCCTGAGGTAATCTGTTAAGGAAAGAAACACATTTTAAAGGAAAATAAGTTTAAAACCTGTTTAATGGAAGGAATAGTCCTCTCAAGAGTTGTTTTATGAAATGTTATAAATGTAACCACTGAAGAAATGTGCCTCTAAGAGTTAAGAAACATTGAAACCATCAAGCTTCTTCTAATACTTCAATAAACTTGTTACCGTTTCTTCTAAAGCCAAGTCTCTGTTACAAATACTTTCAAGTTAAGCAACGCTACACATTGAAGAAAGCACAAATCAATATTACAAGCTATTAGTTGTGTTATCAATTTAGTAAGTCCTTACAAAGTGGTGGGTCCTTTACAAACTTTTACAAATTGGTGGCCTCTTTACACCAGGTAATTAAAGTGGGGCCAAACTACATTAATTCCATAATATAGATGCAACCTTACACAGAACTCAGCGCATAGGAGCTCTATTCCTTATCTCACTTGGCAACCCTAGCATTGATATGTACTGAACTGAATCTAGCGGACACTTGACGCGTCTGAAGATGTCACCTTTTCTGCAACATTTTAGGATATTTGGACCCGGATCTGCGTTTTGTTCTGGAGGAGGGCTTGTTTCATGTTGGAACATCCTTTGAGGCAAACGAGATGTGACATGAAATGTCCCTTTGCATTTATTAATGATTCCTCCAAAAGGAAATTATGTGAGCTCTGTGGGAACACCGCAAGTTGCAAAGGAAGGGGTTCCGCACAAAAGTACAAGCACATACCCTTTAATATATTTCACAGATTAAAACTTTGGCCACTTCATATCAGTTATTAATGTTAAGTTATTAATGAGAAAGAACACAGCAATGCTGGGAAAGGCAGCATCCTTCCTATGTTAATTGAGGCTCCAACGACACTGCCATATGATGTAGCTTGACTGCCTTATATAATAGTGTAGACTCATATAATGCAGTTCAATGTATTTTATTTATTTATTTATTTATTTACGGCGCTTATATCAATTTTAATAGTGTTAATCTATTTATTTTAATGATGTTGGGACTCGTCTCGAGCCGCAAGGAAAGGCTGGTAATAAATGTGGTGGTGGTGGTACTTTACTTACTTAGGCGATCCCTCGTTGTCCGAGTAGGATAGTCTTCCAAGATCGGTGTCTTGGCGGTGGGTCCATAGGTGACCGTGGAGCCCTCTTCTTGACCTGCATGTTCTCCTGCAGTGAGGGCACTGGTTTCCAGGTGGAAGGCGGTCCCAGTTGGTGTTGGCTTGATGTGCCTTCCTCTTGGAATGTTTCTCTCTTTCACCCTCCATTCATGCCTCTTCAAATTCTACAGCACTGCTGGTCACAGCTGACCTCCAGCTAGAGCGCCAGGGCTTCCCAGTTCTTAGTGGTGGTGGTGGTGGTAGTTTTAATGATGATGATGATGAACCTGCATTATCTGGCAATGCAGACAGGCATGTAAAAAAAATATCTGATGATGATTATGATTATGATGAACCTGTATTGTCTGGCAGTATAGAGAAGTGTGTAATAAATCTATTGTTGTTGTGATGATGTTGATGATATTGATGATGTTGATGATGACGAACATGCATTGTCTTGCAGTGTAGAGGTGTGTAATAAATCTATTGTTGTGATGATGATGATGATGATGATGATGATGAACCTGCATTATCAGGCAGTGTAGAGAAGTGTGTAATAAATCTATTGTTGTGATGATGATGATGATGATGATGATGATGATGATGATGATGATGAACATGCATTATCCGACAGTGTAGAGATGTGTAATAAATCTATTGTTGTGATGATGATGATGTCGATGATGATGAACCTGCATTATTTGGCAGTATAGAGAGGTGTGTAATAAATCTATTGTTGTTGTGATGATGATGATGTTACTGTTGATGATGATGATGATGAACCTGCATTACCTGGCAGTGTAGAGGTGTGTAATAAATCTATTGTTGTGATGATGATGATGATGAACCTGCATTATTTGGCAGTATAGAGAAGTGTGTAATAAATCTATTGTTGTGATGATGATGACGATGACGATGTTGATGAACCTGCATTATCTGGCAGTGTAGAGAAGTGTGTAATAAATTTATTGTTGTTGTGATGATGATGATGATGAATATGCATTATCCGACAGTGTAGAGGTGTGTAATAAATCTATTGTTGTGATGATGATGATGATGATGATGATGATGATGAACCTGCATTATCTGGCAGTGTAGAGAAGTGTGTAATAAATCTATTGTTGTTGTGATGATGATGACGATGATGTTGATGATGATGATGAACCAGCATTATCTGTCAGTGTAGAGAAGTGTGTAATTAATGTTTTTGTGATTATGATGATGATGAACATGCATCATCCGACAGCATAGAGGTGTGTAATAAATCTATTGTTGTGATGATGATGATGATGATGATGATGATGATGATGAACATGCATCATCCGACAGCATAGAGGTGTGTAATAAATCTATTGTTGTGATGATGATGATGATGATGATGATGATGATGAYGAYGAYGACGACGACGACGACGACGACGACGACGACGACAATGATGAACCTGCATTATCTGGCAGTGTAGAGAAGTGTGTAATAAATCTAATGTTTTTGTGGTGGTGATGATGATGATGATGATGAACCTGCATTATTTGGCAGTATAGAGAAGTGTGTAATAAATCTATTGTTGTGATGATGATGACGATGACGATGTTGATGAACCTGCATTATCTGGCAGTGTAGAGAAGTGTGTAATAAATTTATTGTTGTTGTGATGATGATGATGATGAACATGCATTATCCGACAGTGTAGAGGTGTGTAATAAATCTATTGTGATGATGATGATGATGATGATGACGACGACGACGACAATGATGAACCTGCATTATCTGGCAGTGTAGAGAAGTGTGTAATAAATCTAATGTTTTTGTGGTGGTGATGATGATGATGATGATGATGATGAACATGCATCATCCGACAGTGTACAGGTGTGTGAGATGATGAACCTGCATTATCTGGTAGTATAGAGAGGTGGACAATAAATGTATTGTTGTGATGGTGATGATGACCCTGCATTATCTGGCAGTGTAGACTCATATATATGTATTTTAATAGTGTTTAATTTCTTTGTTTTAACAATGTTGTCACCTGTCTTGAGCTACAAGGAGAGACAGGAAACAAATGTGTTATCATTGTGATGATAATGATGATGATGATGACGATGATGATGATGAAAAACCTGCATTATCTGGCAGTGTAGAGCAACAGGTAATACATGTATTGTTGTTGATGTTGTGATGATGATAAACTTTCATTATCTGGCAGTGTAGAGAGGCGGGTAATAAATGTATTGCTGTTGTGATGATGATGATGATGATGATGATGATGATGATGATGATGATGATGATGAACCTACTCTATCTGTCGGTGTAGATGGGGGTTGTGTGCAAACCACTTTTGTACTTTAACTCAGTTTGCAGCCATTGAGGTCAGCAGAGGACAAAGGCAGAACATTGGAAAACAAACCAGGACATTTTAAATGCAGCGGGCAAATGGCTGAGGATTAGTTGGAATTGTCCCTGCCTGATCAGGGCAGTTGTAAGGTATTCAAGCAGTCGGTTGATTTCCATCTTGAGTGACATTCATGTCCTTCTTTCCCTGGAAACAGGAGAAGGAGTCTGTTCTGAACAACCTTGCCAGAAAGGCCAAACTGACGGAAGACATGTTCAACCAAGTCCCAGGGATCCACTGCAACCCGCTCCAAGGAGCCATGTATGCTTTTCCCCGGATATTTATTCCTTCCAAGGCTATCGAGGCAGCCAAGGTGAGCCTTCCTTCTCTTCCATTTACTCCGAGCTGAAGCTGGGGATAACAGCGGGAGCTCACCCCAAGCTGTTCTCCTGATTTAGGGTGGAAGTAAACCTAGTTTACGATATTATTTTCTCTCCGTAGGTTCATAAAATGGCTCCCGACATGTTCTACTGTATGAAACTTCTGGAAGAAACAGGCATCTGCGTCGTTCCAGGGAGTGGATTTGGCCAAAGAGAAGGAACGTACCACTTTAGGTGGGCAAACTCTTATGCAGTAGCCTCTTCCCTTTCCCTGTGGTTCTGGGTACACGGTCCCCAGGAAAGTAGGGAACAACACACACACACACTCACATATATATATGGGGCTGCAGTGGTGCAGCGGGTTAAACCACTAAACTGATTGGAAGGTTGGTGGTTCGAATCCGTGGAGCGGAGTGAGCTCCCGCTGTAACCCCAGCTTTTGCCAACCTAGCAGTTCAGAAAATGCAAATGTGAGGAGATCAATAGGTACCACTTCGGCGAGAAGGTAATGGCGCTCCACGTAGTCATGCTGGCCACATGACCTTGGACGTGTCTATGGACAACGCCAGCGCTTAGGCTTAGAAATGGAGATGAGCACCAATCCCCAGAGTTGGACATGAGCAGACATAATTTCAAGGGGAAACCTTTACTATATATACTGTGAGCGTGTGAGTGTGTGTGTGTGTTCTGTCGCGCGCTGGGCCTGTAATAGCTGTCTTTTCTATAAGACGTATACTTTAAGCCCAGCGGGAAGCCAGGGGGTCTCAAAGAGAGGTTCTCAGGGAATTTTCTGAAGTGATGGTCTTTAGAGTCTTTGATGATACAACAAAGTCTTTATTATGGAACAAACAACAAATCTTCAATGGTTCAAACAACACTTCAAGACTTTCTTAGTCTAGTCCTCAATGGACTGGTACCTGACTTTGATTAACTGTACTTTCTCTGAAGGAAAAAAACTCTATTTAACCTCTCCCAGGCTGCTTACTATCCATGCCTCATCGGTGTGGGTCCTACTACCAATTCCAAATGCGTCTGGGTATTGAGTAGACCTACCAGCCGAGGCTTGAAGATATTTCAGCTGGAGTTCCGTGGATCTGTAATGCTGTCCTCCCTTCGAGAATTCTTTGAAAACTTCAGGGCTGTTTTCCCTCTGATTGCTGTGAGGCTGAGAGGCTGTGAGCTCTCAGCCAGAGCCTTGGGACCTTTTCCCTGGAATTTCTGTTTCTGTTTCCCTGGATGTTTTTGAGAAAAGAAGCTTTTCTACGGGGCGAGCTGGTCTACATCCTATAGTTTAGCTTCCTTATGAGAGACTGACCAAAAAATTGCTCCTTTCCCTCCCAGAGCCCTGAGCAAGGGGCGGAACCAAAGCTTAATTGTGATGGACAGGAGGCCTGCCCTATGACTGCAAACAGATAACAGAAAGAAAATAAAGCTGGAGCTTCTGGTACAGCCGTACCAGCACAGTGTGTGTGTGTGTGTGTGTGTGTGTGTGTGTATTTTAAAGGTTACTATATATACTCTGTGTGTGTATATACACATACACACACATACAGTATATATAGGAAAGGTTACGATATATACTGTGTACACACAGTATATGTAGTAAAGGTTTTCCCTATATGTATATATATACTATATCTATCTATCTATCTATCTAGCCTGAGATAGCACTTTTCAAGAAATCTATAGGTCCTCCGGTGGCGCAGTGGTTTAAAGCACTGAGCTGCTGAGCTTGTTGATCGAAAGGTCGCAGGTTCGATTCCGGGGAGCGGCGTGAGCTTCCGCTGTCAGCCCTAGCTTCTGCCAACCTAGCAGTTCGAAAACATGCAAATGTGAGTAGATCAATAGGTACCGCTCCGGCGGGAAGGTAACGGCGCTCCATGCAGTCATGCCGGCCACATGACCTTGGAGGTGTCTACGGACAACGCTGGCTCTTCGGCTTAGAAATGGAGATGAGCACCACACCCCAGAGTCAGACATGACTGGACTTAATGTCAGGGGACTACCTTTACCTTTTTTATAGGTCCTCCAGTACGACTTTGTGGTCAACCTCTACTGATGACAATCTTCATATATGACATTGTAATTCTTTTTTTTTCTTTTCTTCTTCAGGATGACTATTCTGCCTCCAGTAGAGAAGTTAAAAATATTGTTGGAGAAAGTGAAAGACTTCCACATAAAGTTCCTAGAAGAATACTCTTAAACAAAACAAAGACTTTTTTCTTTCTTTCGTTCTTTCTTTCTTTCCCAGAAACTGTGAATCTGGAAAGTCAAACAAAAGCTGTGATTAGGGGGGGAAATAATGTTGGTTTCTTGATCCTCTTTAATGAAACCCACAACAGAATCACTGCAGCCCAGCTCTGAGCTTCTGAGTGCATCCATAGAAAAATTGAGTATGCTTTAATATTATGGAAAGGAATGGAAATGAAAAAAAGGGACTTTTCAAAAAGAGTACAATTTTGTGCCTTGATCAGAAATGACGGAAATTGCATCGCTGGCAGCCCTGATGAGATAAGGCGGTTTTAATAAGAATTTACTGGCAGCATTACTACTAGAAAACAGTGACATTGTGACACTCGAGTTTGCTCTTCGATAGGAAACCAAAATTGGATGTGACCAATACCAAGAGCTTAGTGTGATTAAAAACTATGGGCAGAAAAAAAGAAATAAATTAGCAAAACATCCCCTTTCTAGCTATTCTGTTTTTTGAAAAAATGTAGTTATATTATCTGGGGCAGTGTATGATTTTGTTTGTTCTTGTGTGACTTCCATTAATGTCTCTTAAGAGAGTTTGGGAGATGTGGTTGTAAAGTGTGCCCCGTGGTTTGAGACAAATACATTAGAGTGCTATGCTACACCGGTCAGAAACGACGGCCCAAATCCCATTGTGAGTCTTGATTAGAGTAACCCCATTGAATCAGTTGGATTTACATGCGTGCCTCACTTTGCATCAATTAAATTAATAAGTAGACTTTAGTAATTGGTTGTATCTACAGGGTCAAGCAGTGGTTCCAAACCTTTGGGCCTCCAGATGTTTTGGAATTCAACCCCCAGAAATCCCAGTCGGCTTACCAGCTGTTAGGAACTGTGGGAGTTCAAGTCCAAAACACCTGGAGGCAACCACTGTGTTAGAGTGAATGCCGTTGGATGCCACTTTCACTGCCGTGGCTCAATGCTATGGAAGCCTGGGAGTTGTAGTTTTGCATGACTTTTAGCCTTCCATGCCCAAGAGTGTTGGTGCCACGCCAAACTACAACTCCCAGCATCCCATAGCACTGCCGTGGCAGTTACCAAACACCTGGAGGCAACCACTGCGGTAGAGTGAATGCCGTTTGACGTCACTTTAACTGCCATGGCTCAATGCTATGGAAGCCTGGGAGTTGTAATTTTACATGACTTTTACCCTTCCATGCCCAAGAGTGTTGGTGCCACACCAAACTACAACTCATAGTATCCCATAGCACTGTTCCATGGCAGTTAAAGTAGTGTCAAACTGCATTCATTGTACACTATAGATGCATCAATAGTTAACTTGTTTGCGGATGATATACTATTCTTGGCTAATCTCTTAATAAGCCAACTGGATTCCAATTTTCTGTTTCAGGATTCAAAGAGTGGAGGAAGCTGTGACTCTCCAAATGTTGGTGTACTCGATCTCTCATGAGCCCTTGATTCTTGGAAATGGGAGCTGTAGTCCAACAACTTATGGAAGGTCACAGATATTCTTGATGGAACCAATGGCCAAAATTGTGCTCCAACATCTCAACGAACAGTGGATGCTTTTGCCACTAAATTAGGGTCTTTGCATGGAATCTACGCAATAGAGTGAATGACATTAGATGCCACTTTAACTGCCATGGGTCAATGCTATGGAAGCTGGGAGTTGTAGCTTTACATGACTTTTACCCTTTCATGCCAAAGAGTATTGGTGCCACACCAAATTACAACTCCGAGCATCCCATAGCACTGTGCCATGGCAGTTAAAGTAGCCTCAAACTGCATTCCTTGTACACTATAGATGCACCAATAGTTAACTTGTTTGCAGATGATATACTATTCTTGGCTAATCTCTTAATAAGCCAACTGGATTCCAGTTTTCTGTTTCAGGATTCAAAGGGTGGTGGAAGCTGTGACTCTCCAAATGTTGGTGTACTCCATCTCCCATGAGCCCTTGACTCTGGGAAATGGGAGCTGTAGTCCAACAGCTTATGGAAGGTCACAGAAATTCTTGATTGAACAAATGGCCCAGATTGTGCTCCAACATCTCAACAAACAGTGGATGCTTTTGCCACTAAACTAGCAAGCATCAGCATTTTGCATGGAATCTACGCAGTAGAGTGAATGACATTAGATGCCACTTTAACTGCCATGGCTCAATACTATGGCAGCCTGGGAGTTTTTAGTTTTATATGATTTTTAGCTTTCCATCCCCAAGAGTATTGGTGCTGCACCAAGCTACAACTCCCAGCATCCCATAACACTGTGCCATGGCAGTTACAGTAGTGTCAAACTGCGTTCATTGTACACTATAGATGCACCAATAGTTAACTTGTTTGCAGATGATATCATACTATTCTTGGCTAATCTCTTAATAAGACAACTGGATTCCAACTCTCTGTTTTAGAATTAGAAGGGTGGAGGAAGCTGTGACTATAGTATCCCATAGCACTGTTCCATGGCAGTTAAAATAGTGTCAAACTGCATTCATTCTACAGTGTAGATGCACCAATAGTTAACTTGTTTGCAGATGACATCATCCTATTCTTGTCTAATCTCTGGATTCCAATTTTTTGTTTCAGGATTAGAGTGGTGTTGGAAGTTGTGACTCTCCAGATGTTAGTGTACTCCATCTCCCATAAGCCCTTGACTCTGGGAAATGGGAGCTGTAGTCCACCAACTTATGGAAGGTCACATATATTCTTGATTAAATAAATGGCCAAAATTGTTCTCCGACAACTCAATGAACAGTGGATGCTTTTGCCACTAAACTAGCAAGCATCAGGGTCTTTGCTTGGAATCTACGTAGTTTCAAATGTTCAAAAGCAATGCTTTTGGATTTGGAAAGATTAGCCGTTTACAAGAAACATTGCATGGGGGACACCCGACTGTATTTACTCAGTCTTCGAGGAGGCTCTTTCCATGTCCCCCATCTAAGCGGTAGTGAATGCTGTTTGATGCCATTTTAACTGCCATGGCTCAGTGCTATGGAAGCCTGGGAGTTATAGTTTTACATGAATTTTAGACTTCCATGCCCAAGAGTGTTGGTGGCACACCAAACTACAAGTCATAGTATCCCATAGCACTGTTCCATGGCAGTTAAAGTAGTGTCAAACTGCATTCATTGTACACTATAGATGCACCAATAGTTAACTTGTTTGCAGATGATATCATACTATTCTTAGCTAAACTCTTAATAAGCCAACTGGATTCCAATTCTCTATTTCAGGATTTAAAGGGTGGTGGAAGCTGTGACTCTTCAAATGTTGATGTACTCCATCTCCCATGAGCCCTTGATTCTGGGAAATGGGAGCTGTAGTCCAACAACTTATGGAAGGTCACAGATATTCTTGCTGAAATAAATGGCCAAAATTGTGCTCCGACAACTCAATGAACAGTGGATGCTTTTGCCACTAAACTAGCAAGCATCAGGGTCTTTGTGTGGAATCTACGCAGCAGAGTGAATGCTGTTGGATGCCACTTTAACTGCCATGGCTCAATGCTATGGAAGCCTGGGAGTTGTAGTTTTACATGTCTTTTAGCCTTCCCTCCCCAAGACTGTTGGTGCCGCACCAAACTACAACTAATAGTATGCCATTGCACTGTTCCATGGCAATTAAAATAGTGAAGATACACCAATAGTTAACTTGTTTGCAGATGATATCATCCTATTCTTATCTAATCTCTGGATTCCATTTTTGTTTGTTTCAGGATTAGAGGGGTGGTAGAAGCTGTGACTCTCCAAATATTGGTGTACTTCATCTCCCATGAGCCCTTGACTCTAGGAAATGGGAGCTGTAGTCCAACAACTTATGGAAGGTCACAGATATTCTTGATTGAATAAATTGCCAAAATTGTGCTCTGACATTTCAACATCCCCGTTGCCCTAAGAACGCCCGGATGTTTGGTGTTTTGCCATCCTTGTGGGAGTCTTCTCTCATGTCCCTGCGTGGGGAGCTGGAGCTGACAGAGGGAGCTCAACCTGTTCTCCCCGGATTTGAACTGCTGTTGGTCAGCCGTCCTGCTGGCACAAAGGTTGAACCCATTGTGCCAAGGAGGGCTCCAAACAATTGATATCAATGTTGGGCATACCAATAGATTTCAGGCCTTTATATTTGTGTTTTTCAATCCTACAATCCTACAAATATGGGAATGCACGACCCTGAATGTATAGAAGATGTAACTTGATGGTACTTTGTTATTTGGCATGATTTCTTAAGCATTGTGTAGCGGAAGCAGAGCAAAATCTCAGCTATAGTAACCTAACTTAAGCAACGCTGTAGTAACTTCCACTCTAGGAATGTTGCAGTCGAAAGGCAGATCTCAAAACAAATGCACTATTTTCCCTCAAATCTTTAGGCTCGCTGCTTGGGAGAGGCTGCCATTAATGAACATGTAGTGCTCCGATCGTGGTAGTTACGACATATTTTTTAAATATTTTTGTAAGTGAAGATTTTTTTCATAGGTTCGAAAAGGGTGGGTGGGAAGGAGAGTATTTGTAGTCTCAATAAACCAATGGGTTTTATATTTACCTTGTGTTTACGCCCAGTGTTCCTGACCAAAAAAAAGGAAAATTCAAGGTTTACATGTTTCTAAATAATGTTTTTTTTTCTTGCAAGGGGTGTTTTAACGTTATGGTTCTTTCCTCCTTCCCTTGTGTCCCTTTAGAAAATGAGGGCAGCGGTCCATAGAGTTTACGAGGGTTGAATGAAAAATAATGCCTCCACCTTGGTAACTCCTCAACAGATGGCAGTACAGGTATGCGGCAGGTACTGACTTGTTCAGTAGACTCTCCTCTACAGTTTTGTTTTGGCGGTAAGCCTTAGCATTGAGTGGTTGTATTGTTAAAGTACAAAGTATGGAACCCTGCGCAGACGGTTGGTCAATGCGACATAAGCAACATGCAGTCATTGAATCCTTGACAGCAGAAGGTGTCACTCCAAAGGAGATTCATCAGAGAATGCAAGCTGTTTATGGGGATTGTGTTGATGTGAGTACTGTGCATCGTTGGGCGAGTAAGTTGAATGAGGTTGAGGTGACACCTTCTGCTGTCAAGAATTACCGTATATACTCAAGTATAAGCCGAGGCACCTAATTTTACCACAAAAAACTGGGAAAACGTATTGACTCGAGTATAAGCCGAGGGTGGGAAATGCAGATTATACTGGTAAATTTCAAAATAAAAATAGATACCAATAAAATTATATTAATTTAGGTATCAGTAGGTTAAATGTTTTTGAATATTTACATAAAACTGTAATTCAAGATAAGACTGTCCAACTGATTAAACCATTATTCTAACCTTCAATGTAAATGTGCTTACGTAGCCTTCCAATAATAATAGAGAGTAAAATAATAATAATAACAACAACAACAATAATAATAACAACAACAATAATGAATTCCAGCATATATACCTCATTTGCTGTGTCATACTGTGTTTTTGTGTCAGGATAATAATAATAATAATAATAATAATAATAATAATAATAATAATAATAATAATAGAGTAAAATAATGGAAATATAATAACAGTAAAATTATAAATGCAGTAACAATAAAAATAAAGTAAAATAATAAATGTAATAATAATAAAGAGTAAATAAATAATAATACTAATAATAAATAGAGTGAAATAATAAATGTTATAAAATAATAATACTGTAGAGTAAAATAATGTAAATATAATAATAATAATTAATATATTACAATAATTTATGTAATAAATTGATACTAATAACAAAGTAAAGTAATAAATAACCTTGACTCGAGTATAAGCCGAGGGGAACTTTTTTCATCCTAAAAAGAGGGCTGAAAAGCTAGTCTTATACTTGAGTATATACAGTAAATAACTGCACGTTGCTTCAGTCGTATTGACCGACCGTCTGTGCAGGGTTCCATTCTTCGCACTTTAACAACACAACCGTTCAATGCTAAGGCTTCCTGCCAAAATGGAACTGTAGAGGAGAGTCTACTGAACAAGCCAGTGCCTGCCGCATACCAGTACTACCATCTGTTGAGGAGTTATGAAGGTGGAGGCATGACTTTTCATTCAACCCTTGTACTGTGATGTCAAGTAGAACGACTCTACCTTTCATTGCTTTTTTCTAAAACATCTTATGGTGCCTTTTGGTTTTTGAATAGTGCAAGAAGGAATCTATGCGGTACTTTTCCTTCCTTGGAGAAAGACACGTAGTACAGTCACTTTACTACACATGTACGTACTGTAGTTGTGCGAAAATATAACCTGGTTGGGCTTGATGTAAGGCTCAGAAGCCTATCTTGGAGATGATATTAGTGGACCTTCTTCCCAAATATTTATTTATTTGGGGACACCAACCTAAGATACTTGCGGGGAAGTTTTTTTTCTTTTCTACTGAGTTGTTCCATTTCTTTGGCTTTGTTTTACGTAATAAATAATACGTAATCAATAATAAAGCAAATTGAACATTGTGATGCATGCTGGTAGGTTTGCGTTTCCTACAGGTGCTCCCCACTACTGTACATGGACGACTTTTTCAATGTAATTACTACTTCAATAAATAAATAAGCTGTTGGAACTCGTTTGGTGGTATGAAATTTTTTGAAAACTATCAGGACAACTATCATGTCATTGGAGAACAGACAGGGATACGAGGGTTGAATGAAAAGTAATGCCTCCACCTTTGCAACTCCTCAGCAGATGGCAGTACTGGTATGCAGCAGGTACTGGCTTGTTCAGCAGACTCTCCTCTACAGTCCCATTCTGGCAGGAAGCCTTAGCATTGAACGGTTGTGTCGTTAAAGTGTGAAGTATGGAACCCTGCACAGTTGGTCGGTCAATGCGACTTAAGCAATGTGCAGTCATTGAATTCTTGACAGCAGAAGGTGTCATCCCAAAAGTAATGAAAAGTAATGCCTTCACCTTCGTATCTCCTCAACAGATGCCAGTACTGGTATGCAGCAGGTACTGGCTTGTTCAGCAGACTCTCCTCTACAGTTCCATTTTGGTGGGAAGCCTTAGCATTGAACAGTTGTGTTGTTAAAGTGCCAAATGTGGAACCCTGCACAGATAGTTGGTCAGTGTGACTTAATGTAATGTTCGTTTGTGGGATTAACATAACTCAAAAACCACTGGACGAATTGCCGCCAAAATTGGCCACAAGACACCGACTAACCCAAGGAGTGACCATCACTCAAAAAATTTGATTTGCTCATGTGGGAGTTGTAGTTGCTGGGATTTATATTTCACCTACAATCAAAGAGCATTCTGAACTCCACCTGTGATGGAATTGAACCAAACATGACTCACAGGACTCCCCTGACCAACAGAAAACACTAGAAGAGTTTGGTGGGCATTGACCTTGAGTTTGGGAGTTGTAGTTCACCTACATCCAGAGAACACTGTGGACTCAAACAATGATGGATCTGGACCAAACTCTACACAAATACTTAATATGCCCCAATGTGGTGGAGTTTGGGGAAAATAGAATCTTGACATTTGGGAGTTGTAGTTGCTGGGAGTTATAGTTTGCCTACAATCAAAGAGCATTCTGAACTCCACCAATGATGAAATTGAACCAAACGTGACACACAGGACTCCCCTGACCAACAGAAAACAGTAGAAGAGTTTGGTGGGCATTGACATTGAGTTTTTGAGTTGTAGTCCACCTACATCCAGAGAGCACTGTTGACTCAAATAGTGATGGATCTGGACCAAACTTGGAATGAATATTCCATATTCCCAAATATGAACACAGATGGAGTTTGGGGGAAATAGACCTTGACATTTGGGAGTTGTAGTTACAGGGATTTATAGTACACCTACAAGCAAAGAGCATTCTGAACTCCACCATTGATGGAATTGAACCAAACTTGGCACACAGAACTCCCATGTCCAACAGAAAATAATCGAAGGGTTTGGTGGGCATTGACCTTGAATTTTGGAGATGTAGTTCGCCTACATCCAGAGAGCACTGTGGACTCAAACAATGATGGATCCGGACAGAACTTGGCACAAATACTCAATATGCCCAGATGTGAACACTAGTGGAGTTTGAGAAAAATAGACCTTGACATTTGGGAGTTGTAGTTGCTGGGATTTATCTTTCACCTACAATCAAAAAGCATTCTGAACTCCACAAATGATAGAATTGGGCCAAACTTTCCACACAGAACCCCCATAACTAACAGAAAATAATGTGTTTCCTGATGGTTCTTGGTGACTCCTCTGACACCCCTTCATGACCTCCCCAGGGGTCCTGACCCCCAGATTAAGAAACGCTGTTGTACTGCAACCTCCCATCTCCCACCAGGCTAAAAACAGGAGTTGTAATCCCAGCAATCTACTTTTGCCGTAAGGACGGACACTGTGGTGTGGTGGTTAGAGTATGAGATTGGGATTTGGGGATCCCAAATTGTAGCCTCCACTCAACTGTGAAGCTCCTTCACACACCCAACCTGGATTATGGGGAAGGAAAGACCCACAAAAGCTTCCTTGAGCTCCTTGAAGGAAAGGATGAGTCATCCAAGAAAGAAAACACCTGGAGGAAATTGATTCTTTCAGGAGTCCTGCACCCAGCTGGTTCCAAAGCCTGATTGCAGCTTCTCCATACAAAAGGCTTCCTTCCAATCCAAATCTCCTGGTCTTCAAGGGGTTTTTGGGCCTGCAATAATTCCATCCTCACTTGGCAGTGATTCTTGTTTGCCTGAATTTCAACTTCTGGTGAGTTCTGGGTGTTCTTATTTTCTGGTGGACTCAGCCATGGAGCTCAAGAAGCATCTGGACGAGGCGAAGAAGCACAGCAGCGACTCCGGAGTGGGACCGGAGCGGAGCCTGTTGAGCAAGGAGCAGCGGGACCACCGGATCAGCCTCTTTCTGCGGGATTTTGACCATCAGGGTAAGATTTTGGGGGAGTGATGGGATCTCGCCCAAATACACGCAGTCCCAAGTGTGGGGCCACAATCTTGCACCCAAATCTTGGAGGAGGGGAGGAAGGAATGGGCTGAAATCTTGAGATTCTAGCTGCAGAGTTGGGAAATCTATGTAAATAAAAATGTAATGTTCGTTTGTGGGATTAACAGAACTCAAAAACTACTGGATGAATTGACATCAAATTTGGACACAAAACACCTAACAGCCCAATGTATGTCCTTCACTCAAAAAATTGCTTTTGCCATTTGGGAGTTGTAGTTGCTGGGATTTATAGTTCACCTACAATCAAAGAGCATTCTGAACCCCACCAATGATGGAATTGAACCAAATTTGGCAAACAGAACTCCCATGAACAACAGAAAATACTGGGAAGGTTTGGTGGGCAGTGTCCTTTGGTTTTGGAGTTGTAGTTCACCTACATCCAGAGGAGTCAAACAATGATGGATCTGGACCAAACTTGGCACGAATATTCCATATTCCCAACTAGGAACACAGATGGAGCTTGGGGGAAATAGAACTTGACATTTGGGAGTTGTAGTTACTGGGATTTATAGTTCACCTACAATCAAAGAGCNCCTTGACATTTGGGAGTTGTAGTTACTGGGATTTATAGTTCATCTACAATTAAAGAGCATTCTGAACCCCACCAACGATGGAGTTGAACCAAACTTGGTACACAGAACTCCCATGACCAACAGAAAATACTGGAACGGTTTGGTGGGCAGTGTCCTTTGGTTTGGGAGTTGTAGTTCACGTACATCCACAGAGCACTGTGGACTCAAACAATGATGGATCTGGACGAAACTCTACACAAATACTCAATATGCCCAAATGTGAACACTGGTGGAGTTTGGGGAAAATAGAATCTTGTCATTTGGGAGTTGTAGTTGCTGGGATTTGTAGTTCACCTACAATCACAGAGCATTCTGAACCCCACCAACGATAGAATTGGGCCAAACCTCCCACAGACAACCCCCATGACCACCAGAGTGGGCCACAGCAATGCGTGGCAGGGGATGGCTAGTGGTCCTATAAAATATTAGCATCCCACAGCTTTCTGTAAGGCACAGTCCCCCAATTCTTTCCAGCTTTTGGAAACAGTCTTGTGTGTCTTCGCTTTGATTTTTGTTGGGCCCTCCTGCAGGAGAGACCCTGGGGCCTGAGTATTCGCCATCCAGCTTTGTTGCCTACTCAGCCCCTAGGCTTACCCACAAGGAGACCTGCAGCCACACCCTAATTCCAGCCAGGTGATCCAGCAAGCTCCAAGGGAGTGGTTCTCAACCTTCCTAATGTAGTGACCCCTTAGTACAGTTTCCCATGTTGTGGTGACCCCCAACCATAAAATTATTTTCGTTGCTACTTCATAACTTTAATTTTGCTACTGTTATGAATCGTAATGTAAATACCTGATAGGCAGGATATATTTTCATTCACTGGATGAAATTTGGCACAAATACCTGATACGCCCAAATTTAAATACTGGTGGGGCTGGAGTGTGGATTTTGTCATTTGGGAGTTGTAGTTGTTGGGATTTATAGTTCACCTACAATTAAAGAGCATTCTGAACTCCACCAACGAAGGAATTGGGACAAACTTCCAGAGGCGGCCCTAGGTAATTTTCAATGGTAAGCAAACAGTATTTTGGCGCCCCCCCCCCCCCAAAACCAATCACTATCTATCTATCTATCTATCTATCTATCTATCTATGGGGGCATGGACAAATTTTGGCCCTCCAGGTATTTAGGACTTCCTACTGGCTGTTTGGAATTGTGGGAATTGAAGTCCAAAACACATGGAGGGCTGAAGTTGGCCCATGCCAGCCATACATACACACACACACACACTAGCCATCCCCTGCCACGCGTTGCTGTGATCCAGTCTAGTGATCTTGAAAAGAAAGTAATAAGAAAGTTGGTTTCTAATATATGTAATTTCTTAATGCTTGTGGGTAAATAGTATTTCTTGTTGTTTCTTTGTCAGTGTTGATGTAGTTCCAACACAAAATACTGAAGGGATTTGGGGAAAATAGACTCTGATACTGGAGGGGGTTTGGGGAAACATGTACAATAATTTAGATTTGCAGTACCTTCAGTCACTTCCGTTCATGAAGAAACCTCCTTGCCGCCCTGAGAGGGGTGATGGCACAGCTGCCTGGAGAGGCACTTGCAATGCTGCCCCTCTTCACACAGGAGAAGAGGCCCTGTGCTCCATCGGCTCCTGGGTATGCGCTTTGCATTCTCTTCCCCCACACGCTTTGCAACTCCGGGAGAGGGACACGCGCCGGCATTACCAGGCGCACGGAAAAAGAGCCCTCATGCAGGGAGCATGCTCTCCCTCCATCCTTCCCTCACAAGTGCGCACGTTGTCCTCCTCTCCTCCTCCTCCTTGCAGGCCAAGGGAGACAACAACACCAGTGTGCATCCTTCTCCCAGCGTTAGGAAGTGCATGGAGAAGGAGGGCGATGCAGGGTGCACATTTCCTAATGCCGAGAGAGGGATGCGCAGCGGCATTGCCGGGCACGTGGGAAAAGAGGCCTCGTGCATGCCTCTTTTGTGTTTCATCTTGGGTGCTATCTTTGAAATGTGTCATTGTGTATGTAAACAGCTATCCCATGATCCCAAACATTTTATTTATTTATTTACAGTATTTTATACCGCTTTTCTCACCCTCAGGAGGACTCAAAGTGATTTACACACTTCTAGTTCAAAGCACTTTGGATCAGGGATACTCAACCTGTATTACATTACAAACTGCTAGACCGGCTGTTAGGTATTGTGGGAGTTGAAGTCCGAAACACCTGGAGGGCTGAAGTTTGCTCTTGCATGTGCTTGACCCAGAAGCAGATGAAGAGCCCTCCTTCCATCCAACTGCCACTGCTTTGGCCTTGGAGAAACAGGTGGCATGTGAAGCCATGGAGCCCTTCCAGACAGGCCCTATGCCACATTATCACAGGGTGTTTACGCCCTACACCACTGGAAAAATTATACTGCCTAGCCAGTATTGTGCCACCTGACATCCGGCGGGAAGTGGCGGCCAATAGTGAAAGGACCAAGGCAGAGACCTCTCCAGCTCATCCCCTGTTTGGGTATCAGCCAGCACGTCAACGACTTAAATCTAGAAATAGTTTTCTAAGATCTACAGAGACACTCGCTGGAACACCTCAGCAAGCGAGAGTCCAAAAGTGGCAGGCTCAAACCCAGAACCTCAACCAATGGCTGATACCAAATGAGAGACTCCCCCCTGGGCACACAGAAGACTGGGCGACTTGGAATGCGCTGAACAGACTGCGCTCTGGCACCACGAGATGCAGAGCCAACCTCAAGAAATGGGGCCACAAAGTGGAATCCTCGACATGCGAGTGTGGAGAAGAGCAAACCACTGACCACCTGCTGCAATGCAACCTGAGCCCTGCCACATGCACAAGGGAGGACCTTCTTGCGGCAACACCAGAATCACTCCAAGTGGCCAGATACTGGTCAAAGGACATTTAATCAACTACCAAACTCACAATTTTGTATCTGCTTGTTTTGCTTTGTTCTGTTAGAAATGTAACATAATTTGACTGGTTGTTCTGACATGACAAATAAATAAATAAATCCCAGGTTTTCAGCTTTAAACTGGATCATATGAGTCCACTCTGCCAGATAATCCAGGATAAACAGAAAGCCTGCAATCACATCCTGGGATATAGGGCCTGTCTGGACAGGCCCTTCATCCCTTCCCACACTGGCATCCCTTTGCCTTTGTGTCATGTTTTAATTAAATTATACACCTAAGGGCAGGGGAGCATTTTGTTGTCGCTTTACTCGTACAGTGACAGTGTTACACAGTTGGTGTTCTGCAACCACTGCTTCAACCATCCATGGTTTGAAAACATTTTTTTTAAAAAAAATCCCAAAGCAGTCTTTGATTTTGCCACTTTGTACTGTGGAAATATAAATATAGAGCTCCATAGTGTCTCGTCCAACAGCAGTTGGGATTGAGCCCTGGAACTGATGGAAGGATAAGTGGAAGGACAAGAGTTAGCAACCCAAAAGACACTGCTGCAAAATGTAATTGCTAAAATATCAAAGTCAAAATATTATCCAAATTTAAACTATTCGGCCAGCAATGGAAAGGAATCACACAGGATCATATTTTTGCAGTCCATTAAGTGTGTTGATGACAAATCAGATAAAGGAATACTGGGGAAATTAATATAAAGCAGTGTGTATAAAGGGACATTACATTTGGTAATCTAATGCAGGCTTTAAAAGGTTTTAAAGATCAAGTCAGTGTCTGCTGCAGTTTTTAGTTTTGGATATGTTTTTTATGGATTTTAACTGAATTTTTAAAATACCAATGATATTTAATTCCATTTTAATGTTTGCATATTTGTGGATTTTAAACTGTACTGAAATGTTTTTAATCTAAGCCAACTTGAGTCTTCTTGGGGAGAGAGAAAGCAGGGTATAAATAAACATAATAATGTGGTATTGAAGGCTTTCATGGCCAGAATCACTGGGTTGCTGTGAGTTTTCTTGGCTGTATGGCCATGTTCCAGAAGCATTCTCTCCTGACATTTCACCCACATCTATGATAGGCAACCTCAGAGGAACAAAATCTGGCTACCAGTACCCTCTAAAATAACCCTCTAAAATCAGAACAAAAAATAAAGAGCAACACTAAAAAAGGGGGGAAATTCCTGACATGAAGCAATCAGGGCCAGTTAACCGCTCCCAACAAAGGATTCCCCTAGGCAGGAAGCAGCCAGGCTTTGAAGCTGCAAGGCCATTCAGTGCTAATCAAGGTGGCCAATTGCAACATTCCCACTTACTTCAAGCAGACATGAGTTCTTTTTCCCACCCTGGACATTCCACAGATATACAAACCCCACTTGCCTAGTTACAAACAGACCTCACAGCCTCTTGAGGATGCCTGCCATAGATGTGGGTGAAACATCAGGTGAGAATGCTTCACCAAGCACCAAAGAGCATACTGAACTCCACCAATAATAGAACTGAACCAAACTTGGCATACAGGACTTCCATGACTAACAGAAAATACTGGAGAGGGGGTTGGGAAAAATAGACCCTGACATTTGGGAATTGCAGTTTACCAAGCACCAAAGAACATTCTGAGCTCCACCAACAATAGAATTGAACCAAACTTGGCATACAGGACTTCCATTACCAAATACTAGAGAGGTTTGGGGGAGGCATGTACAAAAGATGACATTTGCAGTCCCTTTTGACCAGGGCTCCTTGCTGCCCTGAGAGGGGTCCAGGCTCAGCTGCAGGGAAGGAAAGGGAAAGCGAAAGAGCCTGGCTGGCTGGCTGGCTGCCTCCCTCCTGGCAGCACCTGGAGGGGGGACTTCCCTCTGGCCTAGTGGGCGGGGCCTGCAGGAGGAGGCGTGGCCTAAGGACAGAACAGCACCCCCTGGCAAAAAAAGTATTCCGCCACCGCTTACTTCGAGTAATGGACGGGCCGGCCCTGCAAACTTCCCACACAGAACCCCCACGACCAACAGAAAGTACTGTGTTTTCTGATGGTCTTTGGTGACCCCTCTGACAACCCCTCGTGACCCCATCCCCCCAGGGGTCCCGCCCCCCAGGTTGAGAAACGCTGGACTAATAGATTGAAATGAGAAGGGGAGCCTAGGAACACCAAGACAAATGTTGGTTGGCTGAGACTGAAGCCCAAAAAGCAGAGGTACATTTACCACTTCTGCAACTTGGCACACAGAACTCCCATGACCAACAGAAAATACTGGAACCCTACTCTACACCTGCAAGACGTGGACTGTCTACAGACGCCACATGCAACTCCTGGAATGATTCCATCAGTGCTGCTCCGGAAAATCCTGCAAATCTCTTGGGAAGACAAGTGGGCAAATGTCAGCATGCTGGAAGAAGCGAAGACCACCAGCATTGAACCGAAGGTCCTCCGCCATCAACTCCACTGGACCAGCCACATTGTCCGGATGACTGACCACTGTCTCCCAAATCAGTTGCTCTACTCCAAATTCAAGAGCAGAAAACGGAATGTTGATAGGCAGGAAAAGAGATTTAAAGATGGGCTCAAAGCCAACCTTGAAAACTGTGGCATTGACACCAAGAACTGGGAAGCCCTGGCCCTTGACCGCTTCAGCTGGAGGTCAGCTGTGATCAGCAGTGCTGCAGAATTTGAAGAGGCACGAATGGAGGGTGAAAGAGAGAAACGTGCCAAGAGGAAGGCATGTCAAGCCAACCCCGAGTTGGACCTCCTTCCACCTGGAAACCAATGCCCTCACTGTGGGAGAACAGTGCAGGTCAAGAATAGGGCTCCACAGCCACCTACGGATCCACCGCCAGGTCACCAACCTTGGAGGACTATCCTACTCGGACAACGAGGGATCGCCTAACAACAACATAAATGTAGTAGAATAATAATAATAATAACAATAACAACAACAACAACAACAATAATGCTTTCGTGGTCCTTCACTTCTTCTTTTCTCCTGCTTTTGTTGCTTTGTGTCCTCTTTTCCCTTCCTTCAAGCCAAAGAGAACCTTCAAGAGATGAAGAAAGAGCTGGCTTCACTTCTTCACACGGCCGAGAAGGCTTTCCGGGTGGAGTCGCTGGCGCTGCCGGTGGTCATGCGCAAAATGAGGAGGAAGGATTTGATGCGTAAGGGCTGAGTTCGAATCATGTCCATGTCTCCTTTGCTCCCCTTTCCCAGAGCAGCCTCACCTCTCAAAGATAGCTAGTAGGACTACAACTCCCAACATCCCCTTTGGTTGTGCTGGCTGAGACTATGGACCTTAGTCTTGGAGATCAAGTGGAACATCATAATCTATTTTCTGCTCATCCCTTCTTTCAGGAATGTATGTTCAGGCACTCCTATTCTCAAATTACACTGTGTAACAAAAATTGGAAAATGCTCTGGTTTGGAAGTGTTATTTCCTGTTTAATTGTGCAGTACTTACTTTGAAATTATCTTAGTTTGGGTTGTTGTGGGTTTTTTTGGGCTGTATGGCCATGTTCCTGCCATAGATGCAGGCAAAACGTCAGGAGAGAATGCTTCTAGAACATGGCCAGACAGCCCGAAAAACCTACAACAGGATTTGTAAATACATTGTAATCTGTATCCTAGGATTTGTAATTATGGTACATTGAATTCTCGGGGTTGCTGTGAGTTTTCTGGGCTGTCTGGCCATGTTCCAGAAGCATTCTCTCCTGACGTTTCGCCTGCATCTATGGCAAGCATCCTTAGAGGTTGTGAGGTCTGTTGGAAACTAGGAAAATGGGGTTTTGGATATCTGTGGAAGGTCCAGGGTGGGAGAAAGAACTCTTGTCTGTTTGAGGCAAATGTGGATGTTGCAATTAGCATTAAATGGCCTTGCAGTTTCAAAGCCTAGCTGCTTCCTGACAAGAGTTCTTTCTCCCACCCTGGACCTTCCACAGATGTATAAACCTCCCTTGCTTAGTTTCCAACAGACCTCACAACCTCTGAGGATGCCTACCATAGATGTGGACAAAACGTCAGGAGAGAATGCTTCTGGAACATGGCCATACAGCCCAGAAAACTCACAGCAACCCAGAGAATTCAATGTAATTACTAGGATACAAATTACAATGTAATTACAAATCCTATTGTAGGTTTTTCGGGCTGTGTGGCCATGTTCTAGAAGCATTCTCTCCTGACATTTTGTCTGCATCTATGGCAGGCATCCTCTGAAGTTGTGAGGTCTGTTGGAAACTAAGCAAGTGGTATTTGTATATCTGTGGAAGGTCCAGGGTGGGAGAAAGAACTCTTGTCTGTTTGAGGTAGGCGTGAATGTTTCAATTGGCCACCTTGGTTGCATTTAATGGCCCTGCAGCTTCAAAGCCTAGCTTCTTCCTGACATGAGTTCTTTCTCCCACCCTGGACCTTTGTCTGTTGGATGGAAGGTGTGAATGCTGCAATTGGCCACCTTGGTTAGTATTTAATGGCCCTGCAGCTTCAAAGCCTAGCTTCTTCCTGACATGAGTTCTTTCTCCCAACTTGGACCTTTGTCTGTTGGATGGAAGGTGTGAATGCTGCAATTGGCCACCTTGATTAGCAGTTACTGGCCTGGCAGCTTCAAGATCTAGCTTCTTACTGCCTGGGGGAATACTTTATTTGGAGGTGATTAGCTGGCATGTGGACTATATTAACACCTACTTCAAACAGACAACCCCTGAGGATGCCTTCCATAGATGCAGGTGAAACGTCAGGAGAGAATGCTTCTAGAACATGCCCATACAGCCTGAAAAACCTACAACAACCCAGTGATTCCGGCCATGACAGCCTTCGATGTTACCTTAGTTTCTTCTCCAGAAACTTCGTAATTGTGGCTGCCACAAACTATGTTGAATTGGTTGAGACTCGATGAGATATTGAAAAACAACTCAAAATGTGCTGCAGGCTGTCCCTCAGACCAAAACAAAGATTTTTTTTTTTGCAGTTTAATAAACTTTTCCCATTTTTTAATAGAATCAATTAGAAAAATCACATTTATAACTCAGGAAAATTGTGTTATCAACAATTTCATTACTTTTTTCTGCTTCTTTCTCATAGACCTGAAAGACGATGAAGCGGCGGCTGCTACAGTTGCTGCCAACCTCGAGATGGTGAGTATCTACCTGGTAGAGTTGTTGAAATGCCAAAGTAGCATCTGTTAAGAAACAAATGGAAGTAAAATCTTTCACAGAAGTACAGTGTTCCCTCACTGGTACTGGCTTGTTCAGTAGACTCTCCTCTACAGTACTCTCCTCTAAAGTACGAGGGTTGGATAAAAAGTAATGCCTCCACTTTCGTAACTCCTCAACAGATGTCAGTACTGGTGGCAGTTCAGTAGATTCTCCTCTACAGTTCCATTTTGGCAGGAAGCCTTAGCATTGACCGGTTGTGTTGTTAAAGTGCGAAGTATGGAACCCTGTGGAGACAGTCGGTCAATGCGACTTAAGCAATGTTCAGTCATTGAATTTTTGACAGCAGAAGGTGTCACCTCAACATCTTTAAACTTATCCAATGACGCCCAATGACTCACATCAACACAATCACCATAAACAGCTTGCATTCTCTGATGAATCTCCTTTGGGGTGACCCATTCTGCTGTCAATAATTCAATGACTGCACATTGCCTAAGTCGCATTGACCGACTGTCTGCGCAGGGTTCCATACTTCGCACTTTAACAACACAACCGTTCAATGCTAAGGCTTCCCGCCAAAAAGGAACTGTAGAAGAGAGTGTACTGAACAAGCCAGTACCTGCCACATACCACTACTGCCATCTGTTGAGGAGTTACGAAGGTGGAGGCATTACTTTTCATTCAGCCCTCATAAATGTGTGTTATACCTGAGGCTCAGTAATGTATCTGGTGCCATGGGTTAAACCCTTGTGCCGACAGGACTGAAGACTGACAGGTTGGAGGTGAACATAGATGAGCTCTCTCTGTCAGCTCCAGCTGCCCATGTGGGAACATGAGAGAAACTTCCCATAAGGATGGTTAAACATCAAAAACATCTGGGCGTCCCCTGGGCAATGTTTTTGCAGATGGCCAATTCTCTCACACCAGAAGCAACTTGCAGTGTCTCAAGTTGCTCCTGACACAAAAAAAAAAGAGTAATGCATCCAAAGAAGTAGGTCTACATCCATGAAAAATGTAGATCTACATCCACGAAATATTTATTTATTTATTTACAGTTTTATATTCCCCCCTTCTCACCCTGCAGGGGACTCAGGGTGGATTACAATGTACACATATATGGCAAACATTCAATGCCAATTCGACATACAATGTATACAGACATACACAGAGGCTATTTAACTTTTTCTGGCTGCCAGGGGAGCTGTCGCTTTCATCGTCCACCTGCGACACTGATGAAGTAGTTCCGCATTCCCCGCATGCTTTTGCTGGAGTGCTTTGCTGGAGTCTTTTTTATTGCCTCATAAATTAGTTAATTTAGCCTCCCCACACTTTTAAGGTTGTACCTAATTCTCCTACTTGACAGATGCAACTGTCTTTCGGGTTGCAAAGGTCAACAACAGGCTACACACAATTGGTTGGAAGCCCACTCCAACCCGGGCTGGCTTTGAACTCATGATCTTTTTGGTCAGAGTGATCTTAATGCAGCTGACACTCAGCCAGCTGCGCCACAATCCCGGTCTACACCCATGAAAAAAGTAGGTCTACATCCACAAAAAAGTAGGTCTACATCTACGAAAAAGGTAGGTCTACATTCACGAAAAAATAGGTCTACATCCATGCAAAAAGTAGGTCTACATCCATGAAAAAAGTGGGTCTACATCCACGAAAAAGCAGGTCTACATCCACAAAAGCTCATGATAAAATAAGGTACAGCTGTATTTTTTCCTTTCCTTTTGCAGCCAGGGATGCAAAAAGACATTTGTGGGAGTTACCGCTTTAAGTGCATTTGCTGACTTTGGATATTATGGCTTTGATTTTTTTTTTTTGGGGGGGGGGGGGGTATTTCTGCTTTTTTTCCCACAGGCATCAAAACATTTTGGGCTGGCTCTAATGTTTGTTCTTTTCTCGCCATAGAACGACGGCTGCATCAGGGAGCTGACGACTTCCAAGCCAGTGCGGACAAACAGCAAGCGAGGTAAGTTGATCTCCAGAAGGATTTATTTGGTCAACATTACAAAAAAGGAATTCGTCTCTAGAGCAGGCATGGGCAAACTTGGGCCCTCCAGGTGTTTTGAACTTCAACTCCCACAATTCCTAACAGCCGGTGCAGTCATGCCGGCCACATGACTTTGGAGGTGTCTACGGACAACGCCGGCTCTTTGACTTAGAAATGGAGATGAGCACCAACCCCCCAGAGTCGGACACAACTGGGCTTCATATCAGGGAAAAACCTTTACCTTTACCTACAATATTATCATATGGTTGGATATGGGAGGAGTGCCATTGACATGAGTGGGCTAACCTTAGTGTCTGAGACACATCATCAAAAAGTTCATGTCCCTAAGTTACAAGATTTCCCTTCTAGTGAAAGTCACGACCATTGTGGAGTACAAAGACGAGAAAGAGGAAAATGGAAGGCAGGCTAAGAAGACATCTCAAAAGGTAAGTATCCAAAGGTTATGGCCTAATATCCACCACATAATTCCCTCTTTGGTTGTGTTAGACTACAACTTTCATCTTCCACAGGACTAAGGGTGATAGCTAGAGAAATTATTGGAATCAGAGGAAGGTAATGGATTGAAGCCCAGGAAGACAAGGTGAAAAGACCTCTTGGTGGATGTTGGTTCCTCAAATGAGGTCAAGGATGTTCGTTATGGAAATCAGTCTCCACTGAAGGAATAAAAATTGCACTCTAATGATGCTAATTGATCTATTATTGGAGGCCCAGGTGATCTCCATGGCATGGTAACCTAGATGTCTAGATAAATCCCCATCCTCAGAAAGTCCCCATCTTCAGAACTTGCTGAAATGTGACAAGAAGAAACAAAATGTTGAAATGTTCTTCCCATTTTTTCCCCTGCAGATATTTAAAACCAACTCCTTGGCCTCCTTGGCTTCGGTCATCAAGAGCAAGCAAGACACTGTGTCTAGGTAAGGCTAATTGCATTGGATAGACCACATCAGCTCTTGTTTCTGATACAGAACATATGCCATCTGCTCACCCACAGAAGACCATATTTAATCATCTAAATCCATGGACCTTATTTTAGGTCTTGTGGCCCACCGATTGGGAACCACTGATGTAGACAGTGATGCAGAATCTCATCCACAAAAATGGCCACCCAAAGTCACATCAATCCTGGCAGTTGTTGCCCTCAAGAAGGTTTTCAATTCACTACTTTGGGCTGAAAAGGAGCCAGGGTTTGGCTTTCCTTCCAAGAAATTCAGAGATGACTCGAGGAACCTTTACCAAAAGGGTATTTAGGAAGGGTGCCATCACTGTAAAGGCTCCTCTGCTTGTGATTGCCCTGAGGTTGGCATTTAGGGCCTCCAACTGTGGTAGACCTCTGCTTCATAAAGACCAAAAGTAGGGAACTATTGGCCACCCAGAGAATTAGATACTGCGCCCGTATCTTGGGAGGTCAGACTTGGCCACGGTAGTCCACTCTCTGGTTACATCCCAAATAGATTACTGCAATGCACTCTACGAAGGGTTGCCTCTGAAGACTGTTTGGAAGCTTCAGCTAGGTTGATGTTAGGGATTCCTCATCTTCAGAAGAGGACCAGGGAATTGCTCAGGAATTGGAGGAAGAAGAAGAATCAGGCAATCAGATTTTGCAAGTGCCCACATTTCTAGAGAGACGAAAAGAGACAGAGCACAGACGGCGTTCAGTTAGAATAGCTGCTAAAAACGCTGAGCTAATTGGGAGACGCCCTAGCACCTCCTGCATGGGGAATTCAGGGCTATAAATCAGTAGCAGGAACAGTCAGCTAATACTGATGTTTTCACTCCAATGGAATCTGCTTTGTGTCTGCTGCTAAAGACTTAGTTCATTCCCCGTTGTCTGATGGAAGACTGGTATTTCTTTTGGGATTTTGTAAGAGACTTTAATTTGTGTCTGGATTAAGACTTTCTTGCTTTATTTTGCACTTTTCCATTGAATTTGCTTATCCTTTGTGTCTGCTGAAGTAAAGCATTTTTCTTTTACTTTCAGCATTGTATAAAGGCTGTTTTTGAAGGGCAACCCAGGACAGTTGCTCACAGGAGCGGGATACCCAGAGTGCACAACGTCCTTGCTACGCCAGCTCCATTGGCTGCCTATTAGCTTCCAAGCAAAAGTGCTGACTTTGGCCCTTAACAGTTCTGGCCCAGTTTACCTATCCGAACGTGTCTTCCAATACGAACCACCTAGGACCTTAAAATCGTCCAGGGAGGTCCTGCTCAATCATGCTTGGTGGGGGCAAGAGACAGGGCCTTCTCCGTGGTGGCCCCTCGGCTATGGAATTCCCTCCTAAGTGAAATCAGATCCACTCCTTTCTTCCTGACCTTCTGGAAAAAGGTGAAATCTTATCTGTGGGATCAGGCCTTTGCGGACTAGACTGGCTTGATGGCAAAGCTATGGTTTTAATGTACTCTAATGGACTGCTTTTAGGATGATGACTTAAATTGGTGATTGTTTTAATGTTTTTATAATGTTTTTATACTTTTTTAACTTAATATGTATATTTGTGTTTTTGTTGTTAGCCGCCCCGAGACAGGATGGGATATAAATGTCCTAAATAGATAAATAAAATAAATTGTAGTTAGAATCCCATCAGTCCCTAACCATTCATCATTACTGGTGGAGTGTGGAAGCAAGGCTGAACTAGAACATGCTTCAATTCCATCCCACTTGCTTTTGTATTTCATGCAGGTCTTCTTCTGTGTGCTCCTCTTCAAAGTCGAGAACCATTGAGCGATCTGCTTCTTTACGGGAACGGACAACGTCTGCCTCCAAGTTCAACTCTCTGGGTTCTAAAAGGTCAGTTCTACTCACTTCTTAGACTATTAGATTAACCTACAGCAGTTAGGAAATCCTAATGAGTTCATTTCAGAGACAGCAAGTGACTACATCATCTTGTATCATGTGTACTTTTATTGATGTTGCAGAAGGAGGCATTTTGTGCTTCCTTGTGTGATGCCCCTTTCACTCACAAACACACACACACACACACACACACACACACACACACACACACACACACGGCAGCTTCCATGAGCTCAGAACACACTGCCATGGCTATTTGCTATTCTTCTCCCATCCATATCTACAAGTGTTGAATGAAAAGTAATCCCTCCACCTTCGTAACTCCTCAACAGAAGGCAGTACTAGTATGCGGCAGGTACTGGCTTGTTCAGTAGACTCTCCTCTACAGTTCCATTTTGGTGGGAAGCCTTAGCAATGAATGGTTGTGTTGTTAAAGTGCAAAGTATGGAACCCTGCAGAAGGTGTCATCCCAAAGGAGATTCATCAGAGAATGCAAGCTGTTTATGGTGATTGTGTTGATGTGAGTACAGTGCATCATTGGGCGAGTTAGTTTAAAGATGCTGAGGTGACACCTTTTGCTGTCAAGAATTCAATGACAGCATGTTGCTTAAGTTGCACTGACCGACCGCCTGTGCAGGGTTCCACATTTGGCACTTTAACAACACTTAAAGTGCTTGGTCAACAGACTCTCCTCTACAGTTCCATTTTAGTGGGAAATCTTAGCATTAAACGGTTGTGTTGTTAAAGTGCAAAGTATGGAATCCCAGCAGTGAGAACTCCCAGATGTCAATATCTATTTTCCCCAAACTCCTCCAGTGTTCACATTGGGCAAATTGAGCATTCATGCCAAGTTAGGTCCAAATCTATCATTAATTGAGTCCACAGTACTCTCTGTTGATCATGGGAGTCCTGTGTGCCAAGTTTGGTTCAATTCTATCATTGGTGGAGTTCAAGATGCTCTTTGATTGTAGCTGAACTATAAATCCCAGCAACTACAACTCCCAAATGACAAAATCAATCCCCTTCCAACCCCACCAGTATTCAGATTTGGGCATATTGGGTATTTGTGCCAAATTTTGTCCAGTGAATGAGAATACATCCTGCATATGAGATATTTATATTACGATTCATAACAGTAGCAACATTATAAATAACTAGCTGTGCCCTGCCACGCGTTGCTGTGGCCTATAGTAAAACTTATCAAAGTTGAGGTAGATATCTGGACTATTATGAAAGAGAGGTCCCTACCTATTCCTTCCCCCTTTTCCTCCCCCTTTCTCCCCTTTCTTCCTTCTCTACCTCTTTCTTTCTTTCACTACTTGGTTTCATCCTTCTCTCTTTCCTTCATTCCCCTTTCTTCCTTTGCCTTTCTTCCCTCCCTGTTTGCTTCCTTCTTTCACTTTTTATTTCCTTTTATTTTACCACCATCATAACAATAACAATAATGCAATGCATTGCCTCTGGGACCTGACACCTCTCCCATTCCTCCAGGGTCTCATAGGAACAATAGCATAATAATAATAATAATAATAATAATAATAATAATAATAATAATAATAGAAATAACAACCTTTACCCGCCACGTGTTGCTGTGGCCAATCTTCCCTCTTTCTCTCCTTCTTTCCCTCCCTCCTTCCTTCCTTCCCTCCCATCTTTCCTTCTCCTCTTCTTTCTCTATCTCTTTCCTTCCTTCCCCCTTTTTCTTTCTTTTCTGCTGTCTCTCTTTTCTTTCCTTCCATCTTTCCTTTTCTTTCCTTTTCTTCTTCCTTCTTTCTCTAACTTTCCTTCCTTCCCCATTTTTCTTTACCTCCCTTTCTCTTTCTTCCTTCTTTCCTTCCTTCCTGTCTTTCCTAGATTTTGACAGGGCGGGAGGGGCGGGGTGGGGTTTGGAGGTGGCGTGAAGTAAAAGGAGGTAAGATTGGGGTGGGGGAGTGCTGGAGCGTGGGGTTGTGTGTGTGTGCGGCGGCGGGGGGAGTGATGGAGCGTGGGGTTGCGTGTGTGTGTGCGGCGGGGGGGGGAGTGATGGAGCGTGGGGGTTGTGTGTGTGTGTGCAGCGGCGGGGGGAGTGATGGAGCGTGGGGTTGCGTGTGTGTGTGCGGCGGGGGGGCGTGGTGGGGAGTGGGGGTTGCGTGTGTGTGTGCGGCGGCGGGGGGGAGTGATGGAGCGTGGGTTGTGTGTGTGTGTGCGGCGGGGGGGGAGTGATGGAGCGTGGGGTTGTGTGTGTGTGTGCGGCGGCGGGGGGTGATGGAGCGTGGGGTTGCGTGTGTGTGTGCGGCGGCGGGGGAGTGATGGAGCGTGGGGTTGTGTGTGTGTGTGCGGCGGCGGGGGGAGTGGGGTTGCGTGTGTGCGTGCGGCGGCGGGGGGAGTGATGGAGCGTGGGGGTTGCGTGTGTGTGTGCGGCGGCGGGGGGAGTGGGGTTGCGTGTGTGTGTGCGGCAGCAGGGGGAGTGATGGAGTGTGGGGTTGTGTGTGTATGTGCGGCAGGGGTGTGTGTGTGTGCGGGAAGCGGCGCGGCGGGGCTTGGAGTGGGCATGGTTTCCGCAGAGGGAACGTTGGCCGGAAGGGCATGTGCGCGCGCCAGGGAACTTGCGGCTGGGCGCCAATGCGCATGCTCAGTTGTTTTGCCATTTTGTGAGTGTGTTGTTGTGTTGTTTTTCATTTAGAGTAGATACGTTTGTACCTTGTGGGTTGTGTTATGGGCATGGGAATTTTGGTTAAGTTTCGTTGGGGTTTTTTTGAGTTTTGTTTTTTTGCCGTTTTGAGTGTGATGTTGTGTTGTTTTTCATTTTGAGTAATATGTTTGTACCTTGTGGGTTGTGTTATGAGCATGGGAATTTTGGTTAAGTTTCGTTGGCTTTTTTAGAGTTTTATCCTTTTGCCGTTTTGTGAGTGTGTTGTTGTGTTGTTTTTCATTTTGAGTAGATATGTTTGTACCTTGTGGGTTGTGTTATGGGCATGGGAATTTTGGTTAAGTTTCGTTGGGGGGTTTTTGAGTTTTGTTTCCTCGTTGGATGCCCCTAACAAATTTATATATATAGATGTTATGGTTGGGGATCACTATAACATGAGGAACTAGGAAGGTTGAGAAACACTGCCCAAGTGGGTCCCAAGGACCCACAATATTTTCAAAAATATGGATAAATAATAAGCACATAGTTGAAAAGGTCTGACTAAACACGGGTTAGTGCTTCATAGGAAATAAGTCCATTCCCATTCCCATCCTCAGGGCTCCGCAGAGGGGCCTCTCTCAATGTGCATCTACTTCAGAGAAGACTCGGGCTGCAACTCTACGGAGCTCCTCTCTGCCCCATGAAAGATCCGTCCCCTTTGTCAACATCCCTCTGGCTGATGGGAAGGTATTGTACTCTAGTTTGGAAAAAGGCTAGAAACATTACTTAAAGGGGGGGAGGGTGGGTGTACAAGAATGAACAGTTGTTATGCAGTGCATCCTCTCTGCTCTTGTCCAGACTCTCTGCTCAGCTGGCGATGATCTCCAGAACATCAATGTGGAGTTATTAAATGACGACACTGTACAACATATCCACACTCTAGTGGTAAGTGTGCCAAAGAGTTGTTTTGGAATACAGTCAGCCCTCTCTCCAGAAAGGGAAGATTGCATATTTTGAAAGTATCTTTTTGGGGGGGAACTTGTTCAGTTTCTTCTTGGCTGGACTTAGACGTCACCTTAGGTCTAAACTGGGGATGGGAAATGTACAGCAGAGCTATGACTCCTCCAATAATAATAATAATAATAATAATAATCATCATCATCATCATCATCAAAGCCAGAATTGAAAAGTCGACAACAGATCCCAAGTGTAGATTCTGCAAGGAAGCAGATGAAACAATAAATCACATCCTCAGCTGCTGCAAGAAGATCGTGCAGACAGACTACAAGCAGAGGCACAACACCGTTGCTCAGATGATTCATTGGAACTTGTGCCACAAAGACCATCTGCCTGAGACAAAGAACTGGTGGGATCACAAGCTGGAAAAAGTTACAGAAAAGGAGTACATCAAACTCCTCTGGGACTTCCAAATTCAGACTGACAGAGTTTTGGAGCACAATACTCCCAACCTCACAATCGTGTTAAAAAACAAAGGATGGATTGTCGATGTTGCAGTCCCAGGCAACAGCAGGATTGAAGAGAAACATCTGGAAAAGATGACACGATATGAGGATTTAAAGATCGAACTGCAAAGACAAAAATACCCGGGCACCCCTGTTGAATGCCATTGGGACTTTTCCTTTGAAGACTTATTTTGAGAAGCAGTGCTCCATTTTCACTGGACTTTAGTTGGATCTTTTCCATGAAGACTGTTTTGAGAGTGGCGCTTCATCCTCATTATTGTCTTCAGTTTACATATAGCCTCATGACTCAATACTTACTTTGTTTATATGACTTTTCTTATTGAATGTATCCCTGAAGCCTATATACAGTGGAATCCTTATCCAGACCTAGAACTGTTATGTTTGAGAGCGGCTGCTCCTTTTGATTTCTGTGTACCACTGAATTGAGCTATGTTCTGGGGATTTTGGTAAATGGAATACTATATGCTCTTTTGATAATACACTTTGACATTACGCATAGATTGTTTATTATATTGTACTACATACAATATTGTTTATGTTAACCTGGTTGCGCAGCAGGTTAAACCGCTGAGTTGTTGAACTTGCTGACCGAAAGGTTGGCGGTTCAAATCCGGGGAGCAGGGTGAGCTCCCGCTGTTAACCCCAGCTTCTGCCAACCTAGCAGTTTGAAAACATGCAAATGTGAGTAGATCAATGGAGACTGCTTTGGCGGGAAGGTGATGGCGCTCCATGCAGTCATGCTGGCCACATGATCTTGGAGGTGTCTATGGACAATGCTGGCTCTTTGGCTTAGAAATGGAGATGAGCACCAACCTCCAGAGTCGGACACAACTGGACTTAACGTCAAGAGGAAAACTTTACCTTTTTTTGCCACATGTTAGAAGCTTGCAGCATTCCCAATTTTGGGAAAAGCAAAACAGCAATTGTTTTCTTTTGAACTGCAACTTGTAGCAGTAGCAAATTAGGTTTCGGGACTTTGTGGCTGTAGCATGAAAATATCATTCCTAAAAGTATCCAAGCTTTGCCCATTGCCTATGAATCTCCTTTGTCTCTTTCTCTTCCTCAGAACCAGCTGACAGTCCTTTGTGGAAAAGCAACTGTAAAGTCAAGCTGATGGACTACCGTTCTCCTCTTGCAAGTTCTTGCACCTCAAGATCCCACATTCGTGTTCCTTACGATGATGTTGCCTTTCAAGTGATGGGCAACTGATTTTAAACAATTCCTACACTGCATGTCAAATGCTATATTTATTCTCTAAATAAATTGACTTCTCCACTGCGCCACAAAACTAGAAACTGAAAATTGCTCGTAACGGATGTTTTGTGTTTGTGTTCAATATTTAATCCAGTGGTTCCCAACCTGTGGGCCACGAGACCTAAAATAAGGTCTGTGGCTCTAGATTTTTAAATATGGTTTCTTGTGGGCAAGGAGATGGTGACTACTGGATGGCATATGTTCTGTATCAGAAACTAGAGCTGATGTGATCTATCCAATGCAATTTTCTGAATCAGCACCCCAATAACCAAACTGAATCTAAAGTTTACCAAAAACTGACTCGTAAGCTTTTTGGTTCTAATGTCGGAGAGTGGTCCCTGGTCAGAGTGGTCCCTGGTCAAAGTGGTCCCTGGTCAAGGTGGTCCCTGGTCAGAGTGGTCCCTGGTCAAGGTGGTCCCTGGTCAGAGTGGTCCCTGGTCAGAGTGGTCCCTGGTCAGAGTGGTCCCTGGTCAAAGTGGACCTTGGTCAGAGTGGTCCCTGGTCAAAGAGGTCCCTGGTCAAAGTGGTCTTTGGTCAACGAGCTCCCTGGTCAAAGTGGTCCCTGGTCATAGTGGTTCCTGGTCAGAGTGGTCCTTGGTCAAAGAGGTCCCTGGTCAGAGTGGTCCCTGGTCAAAGTGGTCCCTGGTCAAAGTGGTCCCTGGTCAAAGTGGTCCCTGGTCAGAGTGGTCCCTGGTCAGAGTGGTCCCTGGTCAGAGTGGTCCCTGGTGAAAGTGGTCCCTGGTGAAAGTGGTCCCTGGTCAAAGAGGTCCCTGGTCAAAGTGGTCCCTAGTCAAGTGGTCCCTGGTCAGAGTGGTCCCTGGTCAAAGAGGTCCCTGATCAAAGTGGCCCCTGGTCAAGTGGCCCCTGGTCCTAGTGGTCATGGGAGTTCTGTGTGCCAAAACTGATTCAATTCCATTGTTGGTGGAGTTCAGAACGCTCTTTGATTGTAGGTGAACTATAAATCCCAGCAACTACATCTCCCAAATGACAAAACCAATCCCCTCCCAACCCCACCAGTATTCAAGTTTGGGCGTATTGGGTATTTGTGCCAAATTTGGTCCAGTGAATGAAAACACATTGTGCATATCAGATATCTGCATTATGATTAATAACAGTAGCAAAATTACAGTTAAGAAAATAGCAATTAAAATAGTTTTATGTTTGGGGGTCACCACAGCAAGAGGAACGGTATTTAGGGGCTGTGGCGTCAGGAAGGTTGAGACCCACTGCCTTAAACATAGCCACTAGCTGCATGTAAACACTGCTGTCATAATGCTTCCGTCAGCTTCTTGGCAGCTGCCCGGGAGCCCTTGCATTTCTCTCCCGCCAGTCACTCATCCTGACTTAGCAGGGTTGTCTGGGGACACCATGGGCTAATCATGCTCTGCAAGGAATAGTTTATGCTGTCGTCTGGGAGCTATGTTTAGAGCCGGATCCCAGGTACCACACTTGAATCTCATAACATGTTTGGACCATGGCCATAAACGGCTCTCCTCCAAAATATTACAAGGAGTGAGCTGGGATGGACAGAGAGGTTTTACACACAAGGTCAGGCATTGGCTTGGTGAAGCGCAAAGCTCTAAGCACAACTCCACTTTGTCATGCCACTTGCATGCATAGCTTACCTGTCACCTGCCAGAGCAATGGTTCTCAACCTTCCGAATGCCGCGACTCCTTAATACAGTTCCTCATGTTGTGTTGACCCCCAACCATAACGTTATTTCCATTGCTACTTCATAACTGTAATTTTGCAACTGTTATGTATTGTCATATGAATATTTTTTAATCGCGGGGTCTTATTGTTAATGTTGCATTATTGTATTGTCCATGTTTTATTAATTCCTTGTATTGTTGTCGTTATTGTTTGTATTGTTGTATTTGGGCTCGGCCTCATGTAAGCCGCACCAAGTCCCTTGGAGAGATGGTAGCGGGACACAAATAAAGTGTTGTTGTTGTTATTATATCTGATCTGCAGGATGTATTTTCATTCACTGGACCAAATTTGGCACAAATACCCGATATGCCCACATTTGAATAATGGTGGGGTTGGATTGATTTTGTCATTTGGGAGGTGTAGTTGCTGGGTTTTATAGTTCACCCTAAATCAAAGAGCATTCTGAACTCCACCAATGATGGAATAGAACCAAACATGGCACACAGAACTCCCATGACCAAGAGAAAATAGTAGAAGGGTTTGGTGGGCACTGACCTTGAGTTTGGGAGTTGTAGTTCACCTACATCCTGAGAGCACTGTGGACTCAAATAATGATGGATCTGGACCAAACTTGGCACAAATACTCAAATGTGAACACTAGTAGAATTTGGGGGAAATAGACATTGACATTTTGGAGTTGTAGTTGCTGGGATGTATAGTTCACCTACAATCAAAGAATATTCTGAACCTCACCAACAATAGAATTGGGCCAGACTTCCCACACAGAACCCCCATGACCAACAGAAAACACTGTGCTTTCTGATGGTCTTTGGTGACCCCTCTGACACCCCCTCACGACCCTCCTCGGGGTCCCGATCCCCAGGTTGAGAACCACTGTGCCAGAGTGTGACCACCGAATCCGTTTAGCACAGCGATTCCCCCAGTGCCACAATTTGTTAAACCAGGGGTCCATAAACTTTATAAACAGAGGGCCAGGTCACAGTCCCTCAAACTGTTGGAGGGCCAGATTATAATTTGAAAAAACATGAATTCCTATGCACACTGCACATATCTTATTTGTAGTGCAAAAAACACTTGAAAATAATACAATAATTAAAATGAACAATTTTAATAAATATAAACTTAGTATTTCAATGGGAAGTGTGGGCCTGCTTTTGGCAGATGAGATAGGATTGTTGTTGTGTGCTTTCAAGTCGTTTCACACTTAGGTTGACCCTGAGTGAGGGCTGGGTAAATGACCTTGGAGAAAGGAAAACAGAATGTTGGTGGACAGGAAAAGAGATTGAAAGATGGGCTCAAAGGCAACCTTAAAAATTCTGGCATAGACACTGAGAACTGGGAAGCCTTGGCCCTTGAGTGCTCCAGCTGGGGGTCAGCTGTGACCAGCACTGCTGTAGAATTTGAAGAGGCATGAATGAAAGAGAGAAACGTGCCAAGAGGAAGGCGAATCAAGCCAACCCCGACCGGGACCACCTTCCACCTGGAAACCAATGCCATCACTGCGGGAGAAGATGCAGGTCAAGAAGAGAGCTCCACAGCCACCTACGAACCCACCAGAACACTGATACTGGAAGACTATCCTACTCGGCCAACAAGGGATCGCCCAAGTAAGTAAGGGAAGTGTGGACCTGCTTTTGGCTGATGAGATAGAATTGTTGTTGTGTGCTTTCAAGTCATTTCACACTTAGGTTGACCCTGAGCGAGGGCCAGGTAAATGAGCTTGGAGGGCCATATTTGGCCCTCGGGCCTTAGTTTGAGGACCCCTGGACTAAACCCTTGTGCCGGCAGGACTGAAGACCGATAGGTCACAGATTCGAATCTGTGGAGAGTGAGGATGAGCTCCCTCTAACAGCTCCAGCTCCCCATGCAGGGACATGACCCTTTTCCTCCGGCATTTCCCATTCAATTAAAGGAGCACTCCCCAACTCTCAATCCATTCCCAATATAAATAAAAATGCAATGTTTGTTTGTGGGATTAACATAACTCAGAAACCACTGGACGAATTGACACCAAATTTGGACAAAAGACACCTAACAATCCAATGTATGTCCTTCACTAAAAAAAAAATATGGGTTTTTTCATTTGGGAGTTGTAGTTGCTGCGATTTATAGTTTACCTCCAATCAAAGAGCATTCTGAACCCCACCAATAATAGAATTGAACCAAACTTGGCACACAGTTCTCCCATGACCAACAGAAAATACTGGAAGGGTTTGGTGGGCAGTGTCCTTTGGTTTTGGAGTTGTAGTTCACCTACATCCAGAGAGCACTGTGGATTCAAACAATGATGGATTTGGACCAAACTCTACACGAATGCTCAATATGCCCAAATGTGAACACTGGTGGAGTTTGGGGGAAATAGAATCTTGACATTTGGGAGTTGTAGTTGCTGGGATTTGTAGTTCACCTACAATCACAGAGCATCCTGAACCCCACCGACGATAGAATTGGGCCAAACCTCCCACACAGAACCCCGCATGTGGGCAACAGCAACGCGTGGCAGGGGACGGCTAGTATAAATAAAAATGTAATGTTTGTTTGTGGGATTAACAGAACTCAAAAACCACTGGGTGAATTGACACCAAATTTGGACACAAAACACCTATCAGGCCAATGAGTGGCTGTTTATATAAATAAAAATGTAATGTTCGTTTGTGGGATTAACAGAACTCAAAAACCACTGGCTGAATTGCCCAAAAAAATTGAATTACAACACATGCGCAAAACCACATATATACACAAACAGACATACATACACAAATATACACACACACAAAACACAAATACACAGACTGGGCCACAGCACGCATGCGCAAAACCACATATATACACACATATATACACATTATATACACACAAAACACATACACAGACTGGGCCACAGCATGCATGCGCAAAACCACATATATACACAAACACACATATATACACCAATATATACACACATATCGTCATATATACACACACAAAACACATACACAGACTGGGCCACAGCTAGTCACTCATAAAAAGCACCAGGATTGTGGCGCAGCTGGGTGAGTGTCAGCTGCATTAGGATCACTCTGACCAAAAGGTCATGAGTTCGAAGCCAGCCCGGGCTGGAGTGGGTGTCCAGCCATTGTGTAGCCCGTTGTCGACCTTTGCAACCTGAAAGACAGTTGCATCTGTCAAGTAGGAAAATAAGG